ACTGACCAATTACTACAATCAGCCTTGAGAAAAGCAACTGATAAACAAAAGGATAGAAAGGAAACTTTAAAATTTTTACCATTTTTTGTTTTTAAATGAAATAGATTTTTATGTCTAGCAGTAAATTCTCTCACAAACACATAACTCTTTTTTTCTATTCTTCCCTTGTTTTAACTAGCTAATAATTATTATTAGTGTTAGGGATCATTGAAACATCAATGTCCAATGTATGCATTAAAGTAAAAAATTAAAAGTTTGCCAATCTATTTTTAGCAGCTCATTGCAAATTAATCTAGGCATGATGGAGTAGAATGATTTAATATTCATTATTTCCTGGGTAGTCATTTTTTATAAATGTCTTTGTAACTTCAACATAGCTTTCCCTTGGGGACTATTACTGCTTCTGTTATAGTACAAAAATTATATCCTTAGAATATGTAGGTTTAATCGTCAGTTATAATTTCACACTTTTCAAACTTATGTATTTTGGTCTCCTCTACTTTAAAAAAGGCACTATCAAAAATCAATCTAAGATGTCCCTGTCTATTTTAGACATAGATCTGGGGAGTGCCAGCCTACAATCTTACTGCCAGAGAGTCTGGGAAACAAAACCTTCGTTCAGTGGCTGATGGAAGCAGAGGCAGACTCCTACAGCTAAACACTGAGCTGAACTCAAGAAACCCAGTGACAGAAAGGGAGAACTGATGAGCAAAGGGGTAAAGACTGGGCTGGTTTAACCTCCAGAAACTGCTGACCTGACAAGGGTTAGCTCTTGAATCCCAGGCTGATAGCTGGGAGTCCAGCATGGGGCTGATCAAGACCCCCTGAATGTGGGTGAGGAGGCCTAGGCTATCTATTGAGCCTCGGATAGTAGGTCAGTATTTATCCCGGGTATACAAATGGACTTTGGGTGCCCAGCCCACAATGAGAGATGCACTCTCACCCTGGACTCTTGGGAGAGTGTCTAGGCCATGCCCTGGATGAAATGACAGACTATGGACACCCCCATGGAGGGCCTCACCCTCCCTGGGAAATGAGGGGATATTGGGGTGTTGGCGGGAGGTCGTGGGGGGAGGGGAAGGAAAGGGAGAGGGACCTGGGATGGACATGTGAAGCAACCTCGTTTCTAATTTAAATTTAAAAATAAAAAAATTAAAAATAAATAAATAAAACAAAAAAACAGCATGTCAAAAAAAAAAAAAAGGATGTCCATCTTCCTTTCCTTCAGTAGCAGTTTCTCACCCCAGACTGTCCTCTCTCTCTCCGCTGTGTCTCAGTTACTGTTATCTCTATTGAGTTTATGCCTCACCCATCTATTTTCCAGGAGAGGTCATGAACCTGTGCACCGTGCTGCACAGCTACGGCATACGCCTCAGCTCCGCATGCCACCCTAGCCTCCCGCAGACAGGCTCTGTGTCCAGGTTAACTCAGACTCCTCCGTAGCATTGCACACATTTTGTGGGACTTATGAGCAAATAAATGTGTGCAAAATCAGCATTTTCCGAATTAAAAAATGAAACTAGCCTTCCATTATTACACTGACGAGGGTTGAAATTATTAGCTTTAAGGGGATCTTTGTGAGAAATTTTGTGTTTAGTGAGGCTCTTCCTACTTGGTTTTCTGACATACAATAGGGCTATTCTTATATTCAATACAAAACTTGTTGGCATGTTTATAAACAAAATCTATCCATGAACAATATTTTTGGCTAATGAAAACGTACTTTTGAAGAGTGGATTTTTTTCATTTATTTGTGTGTGTGTGTGTGTGTGTGTGTGTGTGTGTGTGTGTCTTTGTGTGTATCTGATGTATAAAGAGGGTAGAGGTGAGCCTGCAAATATAGGTGTTGAGAAACAAACTCAGGTCCACTGGAAGAGCAGTGAGTGCCCTTAACAGCTGAGCCAATTCTCCAGCTCCAAGACTAGTTTCTTAATAAATTAGTTACAGGATTTGGGGAGGATGACATCCACTCAGTTACAAAGATTAAGCCCACACTAAATTATAGGAAATAGGTCAAGTGTTCCCTTGGCTTGTATTGAATATAGTGGAATGAACACTGATTTTTTTTTAGAATCAAGCAGACCCACTTTCAAACTTTAGTTTTGTTGGATACTGACTGGGATCTCAGCAGTTTAATCATTCAAGATTCAAATCTCTTTAGGTAATACTTTGTAATGGGTCCATACATTGGGGAACATATTGGACACATAGAGAAACTTGGTATATACTAAGCTTTATATTAGAATTCCAGAATGATCTGACTGAACTGTGTGTCACAAGATAGTCAAAATTTATGCCTAATGCATAATTTACACTATGGCTTAAAATATGCTACTATTAAGAAACAGTACCTGATAACAAAGTAGGAAGTCCTTGATAAATATTAGAAGTTGTTATTGGAAGCTATTGCTTCAGTGGGGGAAAAGAGTTAATATTCAACGAAGCTAACCCAAGCTAATTATCCTATATGGCAACCCATTTCAATCGCATAATTCCTACCCTTCCCCCATTATGTTCTTCCTGCCCATTTTTTACTTCTCCCTCCCAATGCCTGTCTCAGTTGTAACAAAACTACTTCATGCAGTTAACTGTTTAATACATCTCCCCACTAACATGTGTGGACCATTTTACTTTATACCTACTTACTTGATAAAGTACTTGATGAATGAACAAATGGATGGATTGATGAATGAGAGTCAGTAGATTAATTAATATTATTACACATGGCTCTTGTACTGCACCCAACATGGTAATAAATACTGAAAACATGTTTGGGAAACTGTCAATACATCTTTTTCAAGAAAACAGAAACTTCCTTAGAAATGTACCCAGGGGCTGGAGAGATGACTCAGCTGTTGGGAGCACTTCCTGCTCTTGCAGAGGACATCAGGTGTTTCGCAACCACTGGTGGCTACAGATCTAGGGTATCTGGTGCCCTCTTCTGGTTTCCTTGGGCACTAGGTACACACATAGTGTACTTACATGCAGATAGATATTCATAATGCACAATTTTTTATCTTTAAAAAAGCATAGTCACAACTATATAAAGTGTTGCTTACTCTAAACACCAGTGTCTCATTCAACTTCTATTCCTGTCAGTCTTACCTTTCAAATAAAAACCACCAGTGACAAAGAAGGCCCTTTTAGTATCTATTTGAACAGAAAAGTTCACATTATACTTTTGACACTGTCATCTTTTTCTCGATGCTGCACTCTTAAGAAACAAATGGAATTATCACAAAAACAAACCTGCAATGCTTTAAAACTCAAAAGCTGTTTGGTAATACACATTCCTATTCCATGTCACTGGCCTCATATTCTTCAACTGGATTGCATATCTGCATTAAGAAAAAGAACAGACTAGTGCCTTTGGAACTGAGTTGTAAAGTGAACAATCAGAGCAGGTATTTGACTCATTAAGTATCTTTGAATCTTTGACAGCCTTTTAGTCTTTATCTATGAAAAGGGAACTAACTGCGTTTTTAATTTGTCTTCCTCAATCATCTTGAGGGCAAAAAGAAAAATCTTTCTTTCTTTTTGACTGTGAGATCTAATAACCAAAACAAGATGTAGTTAATTAGCCTCTTTCACGGGGCTCCTCAAAGTGATGAGCAGTGTGTTAACAGCTAGGAAAGCCATGGAGTCAGACAGTGTAAGAAGACACCACCCAGGCTGATTAATAAAACTCTGATAATGCACCCATCCTTGTTCTCTTTGTCTGTCCCTTTTCCTGCTTCCTTATGGTTTATATAACTGTCATCTTGGATCACTAAGCTATATCCTTGATTTTTTTCTAAATGTAGTTTCATACACCCACATGTATTCTTAAAACATACACTAATGTATGTTCTTACAAGGACAAAATAAACTCATGCTGCAGGTTTTGAAGGACTGGCATTTCCCCCAATAGCATATTGCTAAGAGTTATGCATACAAATCTATCCATTTCTACCTCATATGTCTCAGTTATGTAATATTCCAAACATGAAACTATTCCACAGTTTATTTACTCATGGTTTTGTCAAAGAGCATCTGGGTTCTTTCCAAGTTTTTGTATTTATGAATAGCGTTCTTAACCATTATCTCCTTGTGTACTTGTTGGGGAGTTGTTTGGAAATGTTTTCCAAAGTAACTACATCTGTTTGCATTCTTTCCATACCTTCTCCAACATTTATCATTAGCACTTGTTTGACAACTAACGTTAGTTATTGTAAGTCCTTGTGATCTTTAACCTCTCGTGGTGTATTATTTGCTCACATGGCATTATGGTTTGAATATATGTCTTCGATCAGTTCTTACCGTTAAGGGCTTGGTTCTCAACTGATGGGCTTTGGAGAAGTGATTGGCTCCTGAGGACTCTGACCTAATCAATGGATGAATTCATAATATGACAATATTGCTGAGAGGTGTATCTATGAGGGCTGTATCTTGTATGCCCTCATGATTTCTGGCTGTCAAAGTAAACTCCTCTCTCTAATTCTTCTCCATGTTAATGGATTGAAAACTCTGAAATCATGAACTGAAATAAACAGCTTTTTCCTCAATTATTTTGCTCTAGAAATATCTTCCCAAACCTACCCAGTGGTGTACTTCCCTAACCTTCTAGGTGTTTCTTAATCCAACCAATGTTACAATTAATAGTAACCATCGCATGTAGTTTTATTGGGACAGATGGTTAGGAAATCCCAGACCCAGTAAAAACCTCAAAGACGGCTTCTAAAAGCACTGGGAAGAAAAAGGAGGACGGTCATAAAATGTTTTTCAAATTCACCCTGCACATCTCTACTTTCCAGACTCAGACTCATTCATTGCATCTTCTCCGAGATGCAACTGGTGCAAGGGTAATCATCTCTAGGTGTGCCCTGGAGTCCTCTGAGGAAAACGTAAGACAGGCTCACCATGCCTTTATCACCAGATCCTGTGGCAATATTACAGAAGTACTGTGGCCCAGCTCTCAGGAAAAGTATGCAGAACTCACGTGAGATTGCATTTTCTTCTAGGGTATGGCATTGGTCTCCCTCCCAACTCTCCACTGACCTCTAACATATCCGAGCTCATCAGCCAGTACAAGTCTCACGGGTTTATGGACGTGCTGCATGACAAGTGGTACAAGGTGGTCCCCTGCGGAAAGAGGAGCTTTGCTGTCACTGAGGTATGGAAAGACTGCTGATGATGCTAATACTTCCTACAGCTTTCCTTTCAAGTCCACAAGAACGTCAGGTTAGTCATGCCTCCTAACCGATAATGTACCAGGATAATCCGTGACCCGTGGGTCACCTGGATTTGCTTCGAAACTGTCCGTTCCTACAACAATGTTCAGTGACGCATGTTTGTTTTTGTTTTAAATGTGATTCTATACCAACGGATAAAAAAAAATCAAAATTCTACTTCTGTCCCACAAACTATCCTGAAAAAATGTATAAATATGGAAGAAATGTTTCTGAATTGTAGCAAGAATAATGATGACTAACATGAATAGTGTTTGTTTTAGCCATGAATTGATGGCTCTGATCTTATAGCATCCCTTAAAATCTGACTCAGAACATTGCTAAGTCCTCAGTGGAGAGTGTTAAGCAGCAAGAGCTTTGTTGATTTATAGTCTAGACATGCCTTAACTAGTAATTGTCAGATTGTTATATGATAATTTTTTAACAGACTAATAGCAAGAGTTACCATGTAGTCCCCAGTCGGGCTAAGGCACGCAAACAGTCAAAATTTCTTCTTTCGGTTTAAATGCTATATCTTGTAGTGTAATTAAAAGGAAGTTTACAAAATAAGGCACAATTTGAATGATTAAAATAGGAGACTGAAAATGGTAACCAGTGCCACAGCCCAAATACAATAAAGAGAAGAGCCAAATAAAACAAGTACAAGGCCATCCTGACATTAAAAAGAGACGAAAACATATCAAAAGCCAATAACTGTTCAAATAGCCTCTATTTGTCCAGTATTCCCAACAGAGTGCATCTCTGCCTTCCTGTGTGACATCTGCTCTTGACATCCTACGGGAGTCTCAAATTTCACTTGTTACAACCCAGAGCCTTAATGCTCCCTCTTCACGCTGGCTCTTTGTCTTCTTGGTGGTGGTTCTTCTGTGTGCCTAGTCATACATTCCATTTATTGGCGTGGATGCTTACTGTCTCTCACGTCCACCTTTTATATCCACCAGCAAGCCATATCACCTATAAAAGAGGTCTCAAATAAGCCCATGTATTGTCAACTCTGGTGCCATCACTCTGACCAAGCTGTCATCTCTTACCTGGCTCACTGCAGAAGTCTGCTAACAGGTCTGTTTTACACCTGCCTTCCGTCGGCTGTCTTCCATGCAGCAATTCTTTCTTCTGTTTGACAGCCATGCTCTCTGGAATGAAATCTGCACTGCTGGCATGCCCTGCAGTGCCTGCCCTTGCTCTCTTCTCAGCTTCTCGTGCCCCTTTTTGGTTCCTCTGTACCACAAGGTTCCTCTTAGGAGGAAGATAAATCCATGCCTCCCCTGACTTGGATCCCCTAAACCTGTTGTTGCCTCTTCCCCCCTCAAGTTGCCCTTCCCCACTGACATTTGCTCGGCTAATGCCTTCATATTACAAAATCCCAGCTAAGGGACTGTGGATGGAGTTCAACAGTACAGTACCTGTCTAGCATGTTCAAGGCCTTTGGTTTGATCCCAGTGCTACAAAAAATAAACAGAAGAGTCAACAAGAGAATGAACTCACAGCTAACATCTTTCTTTTCCAATCCCAGTAGAGACTGACCAATATAAATCATACTTCCCTTTATGTTCTCGTGTATCTCATATCATGTAATAGCACTCAGTCATAACTATTACTGCTTTAAATAAATATTCTGAGTTAAACATAATTATAATCAGAGTATTTGTAATGCATCTCTTCGTTGAACTGTAAGAACTCTAGGGGCAAAGACTGTCTTATATTTTCAGAACCTTCAAATAAAGTAGATACTCAAGATGTTAAGTAGATAAACGAGAGAAACTTAATAACATACCTGAAATGAAATAAGGGTCAATAGGAACTCACAGAGACTGTGGAAGCATGCATAGGGCCTGCACAAGTTCGAGTCATATGGGTCCCAGTGCTGAGAAGGTGGAGCAGACACAAGCTCTCGTCCCTAACCAAGACGCTATCTCCAATCTATGAGAGCTTGCAACGAAAAATTATTTCTCCAAATACTTTTCTCACTGGGTGTATAAACCACACTTAAGTGTAGGTCCATGACCATGCCCAGCATTATATGCCCAACACACACACACACACACACACACACACACACAGAGAGAGAGAGAGAGAGAGAGAGAGAGAGAGAGAGAGAGAGAGAGAGAGAACTCAGTGACATTTTTGTAGATATTTTGTCTCATATTGCTTTGTTTGGGCACTTTTTATCTTACCTATATAGTATTGTCTTTTGCTTGTATATTACAGTCTCCACATCAAAGCCCATACGAGATGGGCTAAAGCCAGACATGAGGGTACATTCCTGTAATCACTGAGGTGGGGGCACTGAGGAGGAGGATTACAAGTTCAAGACCAGTTTGGGCCATATAGCGAGACTTTGCCTGAGGTTGGGGGATAGAGGAGGTGGCAACATTGGAAAGCTTTATGATCAGAAAAAGCAAGTCTGGATTTAAATGTTTAAAATAATTCTTCTTTTCAAAAATGACAGTATCAGAGCTAACAGTGTTTTCGAGATGAAAACCTATTTCTCATCTGGGTAACTGATGGCGTTTTATCTCTGTTGGTGAGTATTAATATAGCTTTTCCTAAGGGAAATAAGCCTGGGCTTATACCAGTCAGCAAATTCAGCCAAGAAAGAAAGCAAGTCAGTTGCTTACATTGAGCTAAATAACAATCATTTGGAGTTCTCTGTGGTGTCCCTGACTTAAATCAAAATCTCCAAATGATTCAAATGTGACAGGAAGGCATTAGCCATAAGGAAACTCTCAGCCACATTCTCCAGCCAGAATTACTGAATAAATGTTACATCCAGGCTGCTGCCATTTCAGAGGGTCATCAGAAAAAAACCAACTCTCTTGCTACACATGGCTCACAGACTAAGAATTTAGCCCCACTTGGGCACAGTTTTGAAGACCGAATAAATACTTACATAGTCTTCTGCCAAATGTATTATGCTGTGAATACACCTAGCACAAAGCTTGACATATCTGAAACTACGTATTTCTGGGTTTGAATGCTGATTTTGTCAAGCAGAGCTGTTTAGCTGTTTCTGCATCTGAGTGTCTCCATCTGGGAAGGGGTGTGATAAAACATGCCATTTTTCCCCTAAGAATAAAAGGTGATTCGTAGAAGCATCTAGCAAAAAACCTGGTACAATAAGTGGTAAATAACAGAAATACTATTTCGTCTCCCTCTAGTCAGAAGGAACATCCAATCATTCTTAGAAGACATCTGAAGAGACCCACGATTGTATTTCTTCAGGGTTTGTTGCTGTCTGTGTCTAAACCAGTCACTGGTAAAATAATGTGATTGCCATAATGGATTAGGCCAATAAGAACTCTGGAGCCAGTAATGATGCAACCTACCTAATGGCACATAGAGAAGGGTGAAGACATGAATCAAAGATTGCCTTGAGATAGGGGAGAGGGCAGAATGGATGCACAGTAGACAGCCAACAGCCTTCTCTGCAAACACCCTGCAAAGTTTCTGTTTATACTATGAAATATTTGGATTTTTCCATCCATACGGGCTCTGACAAAGTGAGCCCAGCTTCTCTTAACGTCTTCCTGGAATGTGAACATCTAGTATTTTGTATGGTGTAAGTAGTTGAGAACATCATCTGTAGAGGCATCCTAGATTGGAATCCCCATTCTACCAGCTGTGAAATACAGAACATGATCCATGACCACTCTGAGCCTTCTCTTCTGTAAACTCAAAGTAACACAGACTTCATAGATTAGAGCAAAACCAAGTCAACTGAGGCCTCTAAAACACTGATCAGGAGTAGAGAGAGGGTTTGGGGTTAAGAGCACTTGCTTCTTTTCCAGAGGACCTAGGCTCAGTTTCCAGCACCTGTATGGTATTATATAACCACCCAAGTCCAATTCCAGGGAATCTGATGCTGTCTTCTAACATCCAAAGGTGTCTGATATGTATGCAGGCAGACATACATGCAGGCAAAACACTCATAAACATAAATAAATCTAAATATAAGTAAAATACTGAGAGTATATTCAGACATAATGACAAAGATTATGAGTTTTTACCATAAGTGTTACACAGATACATAGATCTTATCAAAATTTTCAAATAAAGCCAAAGTAATATATAAAAAGACAGACTTCAAAGAATAAGCATAAACATAAACTACATGTATATAGATGTGAAACACACCAACACTTCTTCAACAAAAATATTTTTATTTTTTTCTATACTCACTGGTTTACTTTGTTCTGTGCGTGTGTGTTTGTGTGTGTGTGTGTGTGTGCACGTGCATGCGTGTGCATGAGGTTTCATGCATGCACACCCATTATGCATGGCAGGGTGTGTGTGTAGAGGTCAAAGAACAGCTTGCTAAAGTCTTTTCTCTTGTACGGGTTCCAGTGATAGAACATAGTTTTCAGGCCTCATAACAGCATTTCTCCTTCCTTGGTCATCTCAACAGCCCTTAATCAAGATTTTAACAAGCAAGTCTGGGAGAGAAGTCTCCAGAAATTTTGGTGTAGTCCAATGCAAGTGTTGGAGTAAAGGCCGTTCTCAGAGCAAGTAGTGTTGGGTAAGACAACCTGGGCTCACTTCCCGGGTTGATTGAATTTTGACAGAAGATGGAAATAGAAATGGAAAGAAAGGGAGAAAGATGCCCCTATAACTGAACCTTCAGACACAGAATGAAAAGGGTAATTCTGGTAACATCTGTATTTAGAGAAAGAAAGCAATGCCAGTGAACACGCATAGCATTATCATCCCTTCTAAGGCAGTGGTCCTCAACCTTCCTAATACTGTGACCCTTTAGCACAGTTCCTCATGTTGTGCTGACTCCAACCATTAAATTATTTTTGTTGATTCTTCATAACTGTAATTATTACTACTGTTAGGAATTGTAATGTAATTACCTGAAATGTAAGATATCTGATAATGCAACCCCTGTAAAAAAAATCATTAACTTCCAAAGGGGTCGTGACCCATAGATTAAGAACCACTGTTCTGATGATGGTCTATACTATGAAATATCCTTATTTATGCAATTACAAACAATTCTATAAGATGTTCACTATATGCATTTGAATGGCAATGCATTCCACCCTTGGGCATAGACTGATATGTTTGTCTTGAAGAACCTAAAACAGGACCTTAGGATCACCCTTACACACCCTACAGATACTGTGTAGCCAAAGCAACCAGGCCTGTGTTCACAGGCTACACTGGATCTCCTCTGTAAAGACTGCCTGTTTTCTTTCCTCACTACGCCTATACAGAATTCTCCACCTCTTGTATTTGCTGTTCCGTAATGTTTCCCCAGAAAAAGAAGAAAATTCTGTAGAAGAAAAGTGGCTATCAGCACTTCTCTTACCTACCCTTTCATCAAATGTCCCGTACTGCAACAGCGTTTATGCAGAGAAACAAGGATCATAGAAAAGTCTTTCCATCCAGACCCTGAGCTTCATCTCTCTGTGTCCTAGATGGAAGGGTGGTTCAATGGGCACAGCCTCTCCCTTCCCCTCCTCCCCCACGATCCCAGGAGAGGGGCACAGCACTCAGCATCACAGAAGTAGGTATGCTTTTGACCGCACCTTTCCAAAAGGTGCTCTTGACCTTGTTATAAAACATACCTCAGTTTGCTTCTAACCTCCCACTCTGCTGTTCCAAGTATAGTCCCAGTCCATGTCTGTTCCCACAAAGTAATTAAACACTTCCTTTCAATCTGAAAATAATGCCTGAGTTTGGACAATGACTTATGTGGTCACCTAGTGTGAAATCACGAAGGATACTTTTGGTCCTCCATTTCTGACGGTTGGCTATTCACACTTGGCCTCAAGTGAGAACCCTGATCTAGCCACCTCCCGTCTCTTCACAACGTTGTTGAGCTACAGTTTCTCTGGAAGATAGACTCTTGTTTAAAAAAAAAAAGTCCAAGGTTCTATCTGCTCCCTAGAGCCACCCAGGACGTTGTAACTCCAGCTCTGCAGATCAGACTGTGACAACTTTCAGAGAGGAATGCCAAATTGACCTCAGACGTGTCCCTGCAGTGCTCACAGTCCAACTGTGTTCTGTCACAGTGGGCTCACTGCTGATCAGTTCGGCTGGGGAAAACATATGGTGGGGTATAAATTCTCTCCCTCTTCCTTTGACTCAGCAGAAACTTACAATTTTAAGTCCCAGAGAAAATTTAAGAACTCCAGGGCAACAGTCCTATGAAACGTGCTTTTACAAACTATGAACGGAAGGCAGCTGATTACAGTTTAACAAGCACCCCAAATTCATCAAAACATTACTCAGGTGGATGATGCATCCTCTCTTTGCAAGTGTCCTTTAAACAATGTTTTGAATAATTGCACCTTTTATCTAAAAGAGGCTGAAAGGAAGAGGAAATAGTGGTCTTGGCAGGGAGCAGGAAACATGCTCACAAAGGGGAGACCATACTGTTTAGAGAAGTCAGAACAATTACAAGATTGGATAAAGACATGCCACCATTACCATTTCAAGATTGTAGGGAGAAAATGCAGAGAGCCATTCTCAGAACCAAGACCAGTAATGGGATGGGGTTTTCTAAGAAACTGGCCACTTGGTTGGTTGCATTTGATATCAATTTGGTGGAGAGCTTGCCAACATGCCCGAGTCCCTATGTTCAATCACTAGTACAACAAAGAAAGAGAAGGAAGAGGAAATGGTCAGTTAATTAGGGGCTTAACCATCCCCTCCTAGACTCACTCACTGTAAGAGAGCTAGGAAACAAATACCCTTTCTCTGTCTCCCCCCACTCTCGGATCTTTTACCTCTGTCTTGGGATAAGGAGACTATCTGTGTGGTCCCTTCAAGTCAATTCCCAGGACACAAAGAAGGATAAAGAAGGGTATTAATAAATTTGGAAGGGAAAAGACCATCTAGCACATCCTTTTGGGACAGAAACGAAAGAGATGGGACCAGCGAAGCATCCCTAGCCTGGCCATCTGAGCTCTGCTGAAGAGACCTTCAGAAGGTCCAGCATGCAGGGTAAGAGAAACAATCACCCTTAGTCAGGAGGGAGAGAGAAACAGAAGCCAAGTTCACTGGAGATCACCCTGGTTCTACTGTTGTGGTGATGACGCCCCTCCAGATGCTTGGGGAATCTACTTGACCTATCCAGAGTTTCAGGCTGGTGTTTTCTTGTTGCTACAAGGGCTTCTGGATTGAATACAAGGGTTGCTACTGGGGACTACAGGAAAGAAGAGAGATTGTAAGCAAGAGGCTCAGTGCTGTAGAGAAAGTTCTAGCCTTGGGCTGGGGAAAGTAAGTATACTCAAAAGCATTACAAAAGTAGGTTATTAAACTTTTCACCGTAACTGTTTTAATTCATTTATTCTTCTTTAATTGTTTACATTGCTTTGGGACAATGTATTTTGATCATGTTTTCCCTGCCCGCAGTTCTTCCCTGCTCCTCCTCACTACCTACCCCTCCAACTTCCTGTTATCAAGAAAAGTCTTCACCTGGAATCTCTGGCCATTCCTGAACTTTCATCTTTCAAGTCACCTACCTCTTCCTGACTGCCAGCCTAACCTAGCTTCCCATTCTTTTGCCACCTTCCCTATCCTTGGCCTTCCCACGCCTTGAACAATGTCCCGTATGGGGGGTCTCCAAGGCAGGAATGAAGTGAGTCTGTCAAGCCCATTGTGTGGCAATTTTAAAAGCTGATGTTTAGGCCAGGCATTGGTGGTGCACACCTTTAATTCCAGCACTCAGGAGGCAGAGGCAGGCAGATCTCTGTGAGTTCAAGGCCAGCCTGATCTACAGAGAGAGTTCCAGGACAGCCTCCAAAACAATACAGAGAAAACCTGTCTCGAAAAAACAACAAAAAAAGCTGACATTTAAATGTATTAGTAGTAGTAGTAGTAGTAGTAGTAGTATTTAGGATAGAAACAGAAACAAAAATGATCATGGTAGTGAAATAGTCTATCAAAAAAGGCACATTATCTTCCTCTCTGAGTTGATTCCATCTGAAAATGGAGCTGTTATTTTGTGTTTCTGGCTTGTAAGAAAGAAAGTGTACATGACCTTCTTGACACATGGGTGCTGAATATGGACAGCGCTTTTCAGATTTGTCTGGGTTCCACTGTGAGGCAATTATATGACCTCTGCAGATCACTTAACTTCTCTGAACAGGTTTCCTTGTCTTTAATAAAGAATCCATGGAGCATGGTCAGCCTGCTGAAAGTCATAGTGAGGCAGGGAGTTAAGGACTGTATATTGCTTTAAACTGAAAACTTAAGTATGTAGGGAGCCACCCTCACAGCTGAGTATGTACCTTGAAATAGTGTAGTAATAAGTTTAATATTTAAGTCAAGCATGAGCTTCGGTGGAACCTATCCAGGTAGGACTTTCTGGAATCCCAAAAAAGCACAATGCTGTACTTGGGTCCTTCCACATAGTGCGAAGTTGAATAGGGCATGAAGAAAGCAATCTGAGAAATGTCTCACCTTCATCTAGTTGGCTTCCAGAACAAACCCAGACATTCACTCCTGCATCAGAACACATATGCTGAACCCATGTGTGCCAGGATCTCTTTGGGTGTAGTCAGTATAGAAATGAATACAGAGCTCACATGCAGAGAAAGAGAGAGAGAGAGAGAGAGAGAGAGAGAGAGAGAGAGAGAGAGAGAGAGAGAGAGAGATCAGGAACAAATTCCTTGTTCTACATGGCCACCCACAGGGTGGAAACAGTGACAAAAGCAAGGTCATGACTCACAGATCAAGGACTCAAAGCTGGCCTCTCAAAGGAGGTGATACCTACAGGGATAAAATCTACCAGGCAAAGTGGAAGTGAGACATCAGAGGCATGAAATAGTAGGTACTGCGAAGTATACCTGCCCTCTGAAAATATCACCCAATTATGCATGCCTCAGGGATTCTAAAATTGCACAGCCATTTTTCCCCCATTCACTTGGTAAACAGACATAGCTAAACTCACAAGCAAATTATAGGCCTTTAGCTTCTCCTATATTCCTCTTTTGGGATTCCTTTTACCTTTGCAAGGCAGGAACATTGTTCTAGGATTCATTGGAGCACAGTCTGGTATAACAAAGGATTTGACTCTAAAGGAGACATCAGGGTGGACTCCCAGCTTGTATAAGCCAGACAGCTTCCAAAATTTCAGATCTAGAAGCCACCAAGATTGCTCAGTGGGTAGCAGCACTTGCTGCTGTATAAACTGAGGGTTTTATCACCAGATGTATAAACTGAGGACATGACTGCTCCAAGATATGCTGAGGGTAAGGTTTTTATTGTAGATTTGTGGGAGGGTACAGCCAGAGCCATCTAGAGGAGTCCAGAGCAGAGAGAGAAAATAGTAAACTCAACATGGCCAGCAGACTGAACTGGGAGAGAGAGACAGAGAGACAGAGACAGAAACAGAGAGAGAGAGACAGACACAGAGACAGAGAGGAAGATAAGGAAACAAACAAGAAGTGTCCAGGAGAGGAAGAAAAACAGAGCGCTTAACTGAAACATCAGGGTTATACAGGAATGAGAAGCTGGGGGAGGGGCGGAAGCCCATGAGCTGGAGAAGGTTAGAGGGGGTTTAGAAGAGCTGAGAAGAGCCACGGGTAGTTAGGATGCTAAGGGAGATCGGGGGCCAGCATGCACTCTGGCATGCTGACAGGAATCACAGATAGCCATTTTCCCCCAGTTCCTTTCCGGCGTGACAGCTGCCAAGCCTGATGACCTGAGTTCCGTGCCTGGACCCAGTGGTGGAGGGAGAGAACAGACTTGCATGTGCTGTCCTGTGTCCTCCACATGGGTGCTTTGGCATGAGTGCCCACCCACCAATAGATGAACAAACACATACAGTAGGTTCAATGAAACATTATAACTTCAGATCTCCCCCTTCGAAGCCAAGGATATAATAAGGCCTGCCTCAAAGTGTGAAGGGCATTTAATGAAACTGTTAGTGGGAACGTCTGGTCTAACCAGTGTTCTTTCCCTTTCCCTGAGTAAGACCTGTGTCTGAGCCAAGTGTGCTGCAACAGGCCTGTAATCCCAGCCACCAGGAACTGAGTCAGGGGCACCATGAGTTTGAAGTCAGCAAAGGCTATACAAAAAGAACCTGTCTACAAGAAATAAATAAATAAATAAATAGCAGCAACAAATAAATACTAGAACTGAAAACAAGTGATGTGCAAAGAAGAATACAACTTGGTAAATAACAAACTGCTTCCCGTAAGACTTTGCATTTGCCTTACCCTAGCTCTTGAAATCTTTTGCACAGAGACGCATCTGTCACCAGCCTCTTAGAGTTAGTTCTAGGCTGGCTAGTGACGGCTTCCATGTAGAACTGAAGACTCTCTGGTGCCATGGAGAGAACCCCTGATTCCGAATGTTCTGGCCGTGTGCTGGCTGGACTGGTTTTTAGAGCGTGGTGCCACTACTTCTTTGTTCCCCTCTCTCCCAGCTCTGCGTGGAGGTAGGTTCCTGTGGGAAAACATGAGGAAGGGCTATGCAAACCCTTAGGTAGCCCTTGAAACTCATCTAGAAAAACAATAACAACTACTGTCCGCACTGCTCTGGGGGCAGGCCTTCGGCCCACATCAGCAGAAAGCAGGCCCGCTGGTCTGTTGCTTTCTGGTCTGTGTAGTTTGAATTCTGTGACAAGGAGGGGCAATCCAGCAGGTGTCCCCTTCACCAGTGGTAATGAGCAAACTAACAGATCTTGTGGAATAAGGGTCTCCTTTTTTGCATTCCAGAGAGGCTCGGGCATAAATTACACTCAATACCACATACTGTTAGTAGTTCCTGCTTTTCTCCTAAATTCCTCGAACTAATGAATATTTATGAAATGTCATTTGCTATGCAACTAGAAGGCCTGAACAGTGCTCAAACTGATTAGTGCTGTTGTGAGAGACAGGTTTCTTTCCGTTTTCTCAGATTTCCGTGCACTGAAGCCTATGGGGCATCTCATGAATTAGGACTCCTCCCTCATCTACTTTCTACACAGAAAGTCCTAGCCTCCAGGCTCTGGAGAGTCCACTTTGAAGAAAGCTAGGAACGGAAGTGGGGAGTGAGTGCCATCTAGTGGCTCTGAAGTGAGGCGTTGCGAAAAAGAAAAACCACCCTTTTGCCTCTCAGAAAAGCATGAACAGTGAAAGAATTGCTCAGCCTGTTAGATGCTAAGGACGCTTCTTCCCCATGTGAGCAGTTAAGAGTAGGTGGAATTTTGGGGACATATTAGACAAGGAAACGGCATCTTGGGGAGCCCCAGAGCCTTTAAAGAGATTATTGCCTGCAACATCTAAGCATAGAGTTATCAGCCAGGAAGGCTAGAACATTCACATTTAGAGCACCATCAATGCTTCCTACCTCTGTCCTTCCAGACAACTGGACTTCAGGCCTACCTCAACTTGTTATGCAATGCTTTGTTTATATCCATGGGAGTCCTGCCCCTTTCCGAACAGAAATGGAGGAGGGGCGGAGGGAGTCTAGTGTGGGGAGAGGAGAACAGGAGAGGAGGGAGGGGTAAATGAAAAAAATTAATTGATAAAAAGTCTTCATAAAAATAAAAACAGCGAGTCTGGGATCTCTCTATCCCCTTTAAGAGCACAGTCCTCGATGAGCCGAAGGCCTCCCATAGATGCTACTTCGGGAAGTGTCTACTGTGTCTCAGTAGTGGGGCCTCTGGAGAACAGTTCAGATCCCCTGAAAACCAAATAATGGCACTGACAAACTCCAAGCCACCAAGAATGAGGGGAAGGCAGAGAATTACGCTTCCTCGGGTCTCAGAAGAACATGATCCCGCCAGCTTCCTGATTTGCGACTCCTGGCTCCAGCACTGCTTAAAGGCAGCCGTCCTGAAGGTACCTGGATGACACCTACAGCTGTGACAAAAGGATCGAATATTTCTTGAAAAAAAAAAAGCCTCTATTTGCTACCAGAAAAAGAACATGTCACTCCTTGGATGGCATCTTTTGTGTCTTCTCTTCCAAATTGTCACAACTCTCTTGTGCTCTAGTTCACTTAGGAGTCCACAATCTTCATGAGCAGGGGTAGCCTCCGCATCTCCTCGGAGCTTTGTATGTTACAACATGATTGGCATGGCTGTAAAGAAAGAACTGAATAAGCATCGCCCTGTCTTCAGTGTCTGGGGGCGGGGTCAAACCTCATTCCACTTCACCTAATGAGGCTGCTGTCCCTTGACTTCCCTGCTCCAGCCACACAGGTCTTCTTTAGGTTCCTGCCGCTGGCTCTGCTCCCCTTGCTCCAGACTTTTGCACCTGGGGTTTCTTCCATTTGGAATGCCCACCTCTTCCAAAACCATCTAGTTAACCTCTTCTACTCCTTGAGATTTCAGCTCTAGCATCCTTCCTCAATAAAAGTTTCCAGCTGATGGACTCTTTGGGTACAAGGTATCTCTCACCTGTAGTACATAGCATAGAAGCTCCATTATATCTCAGATTGTGACCATTTTAATATCTCATCTTTCCCACCTAATTTAGGCAACTGTTACATTCCTCTAATCCAGTAGTTGCTCAATAAATACTTGAATCCATAGTAATACATCCATAGAAATACATATATGCCGGGCGGTGGTGGCGCACGCCTTTAATCCCAGCACTCGGGAGGCAGAGGCAGGCGGATCTCTGTGAGTTTGAGGCCAGGCTGGACCGACAGCCTCCAAAACAATACAGAGAAACCTTGTCTCGTAAAACCAAAAACAAAAAAAAAAAAAGAAAAACATATATATTCAACTAGTCATTGGTTTTTCTTAACACCCTATTAGAATATTCAGGTAAGTCTACAATAGGCAAAAATGATTCCTTCTGACGATTCTGTGCTAGGCATTGAGCCTGGTCTTCGTGTCCTATATTAGTTAGTCTGGGAATGACTCTATGAGTTAGCAATCACTGTCTAGTTTTCCAAATGAACAGTGACTTGGTTAATTAATTCTGCTGGAGGTCACAGAATCGTTAAATAGCAAAACTTTAATTTAAAACTGTATATGTCAAAACTTGTATTTAAAACTATCCCAGAATTATAAAAACAAACCAAGCTTATTATTATCTCTAATCCTTTGGAATATACACAATAAACATAAAAGTTTGACTAAATGATGTTACACTTTTAACTCCACACTCATTAAACTGGATTTCTCAGTGGCAGAACTCAGTTACCCCAGGGACTGTGCCATCTTCACCAAAGTAAGTCTATTATTTGGCACAGGGTCAACCAACTATGATATGTACAGTATAATCAGTTGAACACAATGATCCTGACATTCAAATAAAATAAAAGGCATGTAGTCAGAGCCCATTTCACAGACCTTCCAGCTGATCTTCCTCTGAATTAAAGAACACAGGCATGATGGGCACTTATTTTTGGAAGTGAGGGATGCTTGCCTCCCTCAGTTAGATTTAACAGCCTGAAGTTCCCCCAAGTCCCCGTGAACTAGATTGTTCTTGGACCACATGTATTTTTTATGCCTGTAGAGAACAGGAGTTGCTACTCTAAAGAAAGGAAAGATTAGTTCTGTCTGAAAGATTCCTAGTGGAATCAGAGGAGGAGGTGAGAAATTTAAGCGGCCACTCTCAGTACACACAGGCCTTCCCTGGACACTTTACAAAAATCTCTAACATGCACCAGGCACAGTCTGGGAGATAACAGAGGCCATGTTCTTGGGAACAGTGACTTTTATTTTATTTTTTAAGTGCTCTGAATTAAGAAGTTTTTGTATTTCTCAAAGAGTTATGTTGGTGTCTGTAAATCGGTGTAAGAAATTCTCTTAGGAGTCTTCTGACCCTCAGTTCCTGAAAGAGGTCCAGAAGGACGCCAGTCTGGCTGCTCCCAGGGAGAATTGTGGGGAATTCACCTCATAACAATGCTTGGACTATCATTTTATCTGACCCTTACACCACCCCTGCAAAGGAAGCAGCAGTCTGATGCCACCCTCAGTCAGTGGTTTAATGTCTGTTATGTATATATTGTCTGTCAAGCTATGTAGTCTTTGCTGGAGATGGCACGGTGAATTATCTAGATATGTCCCTAGCTCCCATTTCTTGGAGAAGGGGAGATGAAAGAGAAAATCATTTCCAGGAGAGATGGGAATTATAAGGAAGACCTGCGTTAGAGAGGAGGCCAGCCCAGCAGCAGCTATCCCTCTCCTGAGTAGTCCCAGTTGGCCCTCCCATCCCTCCAGCCTCTACTTCCCCTCTTCCTGTCCTCACAGAGTCTCACCTCCCCTCCCCGCTGCCCACCTCTGGTTCCCGCGCGCTGGCTCGAGCTGCACAGGCCAACGGCAGCACTCTGTGCCTCGCGGTCTCCTTCCTCCCACTGGCTCTGCCAGCCCTACTGCCCCCGCCATGGGAAACGAGGCCAGCTACCACTCCGGGATGTGCAACAACTTCGACCACGATGAGATTAGAAGGTTGTGCAAAAGCTTCAAGAAGATGGACTTGGACAAATCGGGCTCCCTGAGCATACAGGAGTTCATGTCGCTGCCCCAGCTGCAGCAGAACCCACTGGTGAGTCGAGTGATCGACATCTTCGACACGGACGGCAATGGGGAAGTGGACTTCCAAGAGTTCATCGAGGGCACCTCGCAGTTCAGCGTCAAGGGCAACGAGGAGCAGAAGCTAAGGTTCGCCTTCAGAGTCTACGACATGGACAAAGACGGCTACATCTCCAACGGGGAGCTCTTCCAGGTGCTCAAGATGATGGTGGGTAACAACCTTGAGGACTGGCAGCTGCAGCAGCTGGTGGACAAAACTATCTTGGTCCTGGATAAGGACGGCGATGGCCGGATATCCTTCGAAGAGTTCTGTGATGTGGTCAGAAGCATGGAGATCCACAAGAAGTTGGTCGTGTTTGTGTGAGTTTTGTGGGGGGGGGGGGGGGCGGGGGGTTATTATTTGTCTGTTTTGGTTTGTTTTCTTTAAGGGCTCCAGTCAACATATTTAGCTTTCTTCTCTTTCAGTATCTATTATAAAGATATTCAGCTACTGTCTTTCTGGCTAACCCGGAAGTGTTTCTCTCTGCCTCTACCATCCATGCAGTGTTATTAATTCAACTCTCCATGACTGCAGACAAAGCGGGGAGCAGGGAAAGAAACCAGAATAATTCTCATAAATGCCTTTTTCTTTGTTTTAGAGATCACAGTCAAGAAGACTAAAAGCTTAAGCATAAGAAAATGTACATCTTTGCATTCTTTCTCAAGGCTATGTATATGGGAGAAGACTACGATTCTCATGGAGTGTTAGGAAATCTTTTCAATTACTTGTGGCCTTCAGACTTTTAACAAATTGTTAAACTTCCTGTTGTAACAACTAGCAAAAATACATTTATCTTTGCTTAGTATCCTTCAGTCACTCTCTGGACACTACTACCTCCATAACAGCATGCCCCGGACTCTCCGTGATCATCCAGAAATCCCTAAGCATGTTTGAGGGATTGAGGTCCAAAAGGGGAGATTCTGTCTCCGTGCTTCAGCCTGCCAGAAAGTAACCTCTGAGTTCATGTGAGAACAGCTAACTCTGGACCAAATGGCCAGCCCACCCACCTCAGTATGACAGGTTTCTGGCCTTGTGGGTTTAAAAACGGCAGTATTCTGGTCAGAATGGGCAACATCCGCCCCACACCCAGCCCCACCCAGCTGGAGAGAATGAGACAGAGTCAGTTTTCTCCCAGGGCAGAAATCAGCAGATTCAGGCTGAGGTGGCCTTTCCCAGGATGCTGAAATGTTTTTGTCCTGAGGGATGATGAGCAATGCAAAGATAATGAGAGCTGGTAACACTGGGAGGGTCGGCTTGCTTTTGAGAATCTGATCTGGTGCCCAGCAGAGAAGCCAACAGCTGTCTATCTCAGGAAGGTTTCCTCCACTGTAACATTCAACTCAAGAGTTCCTCATGCCCGAAGAGTTAGACTAGGATCCCAGGATGTCCTGGCACTTGATTCTAGACAAGATCTAATGTTAGGCACCTTTCTCTAATTCACATGGGTATTGTTGGTGGCCTGAGATTGGCAATGGTGGATAGTAGAAGCTCTGTTTTGCTTTGGAGTTGGTTTAATACTACTGTTTGTCCCCATAAATGTCACTAGCTCCCTGAAGTCCCTTATACTATTGTCAATAAAGTACAAGGTGTCCTTGGAAGGGCAGGTGTAGTCTATGCTCCAACATCTGCCACTTCACAGATTGCTCCCCATAATGAGCTACCTGATGTAATGAAATAAACTCTCACTACATGTACCCAGTCGAGAGTCACCACTTAACCATTTCTAGATTTATTGTTATATTTTTTTGGGGGGGGGGTTTCGAGACAGGGTTTCTCTGTGGCTTTGGAGGCTGTCCTGGAACTAGCTCTTGTAGACCAGGCTGGCCTCGAACTCACAGTATTGTTATATTTTAAAGAAGTTATCAATTAGTCTTAGGAGGTGGAAATCCAGATTCTATTACTTGCAAGGTGCCCATCTATCCCAAGGAATACTGCAACACGTTTCATGTTATACTTTATGGGGAACCACAAGGAATAGGAATCCCTGACTCTATAACTCCTTTTCCATCATAAAATATATATTTGGATTGTGCAAATAATGCCATCCCTGTAGCATTGGAGTGAAACCCATTTCACAATAGTTAAGACAGTTTGAGGCCCAAACACCCCAGGGTATGGATTCAGTTAGAACAGCGTCATCACAGCCACCTATTAGTTGGGTGAATATGAGCAACTTAGCTTCTGTGTCTTTCCATCCACGTCTACTTTGAAGGTCGAAAGAGATGAAAAGCATTCACTCTATGTAGTGTTCACTCTACTGACTCCCTCCCTCCCTGGCTGTAAGATGGGTGTGGAAAGGATACTGGGATCCTTTGCAGCCTCATATCCTGACACTTGGCCACAACCACTCTAAAATAGTTGGGCATCTATGTAATTTTGTCCCAGAAAGGAAATGATAGGAACTCATGTTAAGGTTAAGGTCCTCCTCAACACTCATGCAAATCACCCCACAGATTTTTCAACTTGAGACCCAGAAAACACTTGAAAGAGAGCCTTTCATGCTAGGCTGACATATCAGACTTTGAGAGGAAATTTTAGTAAGAACAGCGAGCATAACCCAAGATCTCCTGATGACAGACATTATGACTCTGGAAATGTACACTTTCAAATAGGAAAAGTTTGAAATTATGATCAAGAATTTTATTCGGTTAATTGTTTATATTTAATAAGGAAACTCTTTTGGAGTAGCTGGATTAAGTTAGTTGTTCAACCATATCATAGTTGGCTAAAGCTTTGTGGTAATAACCTTGACCTGGCTACATGTTTCTGATTTTGGAACAGAAGAGATTTGGCTAGATATTTGGGGAAATGGATCATATTTACTTCCAAACTAGAATGCTTTTCCTTTTCTCAGTTAACTGCCAATTTCTCAAAAAAAATAGTCCCATGTAACTCCTTGGAGTGACAATAAGTGGAAGGGGTCATCAGCTCCTAACTTCTGTCACATCATCTGATCAGTACTGAGGTGGTGCCATCATCTCAGCCGTCCAAACCACAGGCAATCTTCTCCAAGGACACGAGGCTGGAAAGAAGAAAGGAGAGACTCAAGATCACAAAGACCCCAGTTCCTTTCTCCCATGTTAAATCCCTCTTGTTCCTATGATTACTATGTTCACTCATCTCAAATTATTCTAAACGACATTATTAATGTAGGCTGGTCAATCCAACTTCCACAAGAGGAGAAACCAAGAACTAACAAACTAACTGCCTGTCGGAGAAAGAGACCCAGACCTCTTCAGTTTTATGCATTGCAAAGAAACAGATTTATGTAAAAAGTGTGCATGCATGCGTGTGCAAGTGTATAAAGTAGAGGTGTTTACATATATGTGAGTACAAGAGGTCCACCCTAGGTGTTGTTACTCGGGCCATCTACCTTTCATTTTAAGAGAGTATCTCACTGGGACCTTGGGTAGTAGTTGTTATTAGGCTGGCTGGCTGGTGAGCTCCAAAGTCCTCCTGTCTCCTTCTTCTCCACTCTTGTGATTACAAGCGTGCACCAGCATTCGAGGCAGGGTTTCTCTGTGGCTTTGGAGGGGATATCCAGGAACTAGCTCTTGTAGACCAGGCTGGTCTTGAACTCACAGAGATCCACCTGTCTCTGCCTCCCGAGTGCTGGGATTAAAGGCATGCGCCCCCAACGCCCAGCTCAGCTCACTTTCTTACACAACCAATGTACTCAGCTGTGGTATAACCCACAGTCAATCATTAATTATAAGAATACCTCCACAGACTTTCCCACAGGTCATTGCAGTGCACGTAATTCCTCAATTGAGGTTTCATCAAGTACCTCTACTTCATATCAAATTGACAAAAAAAAATAAGTACAATGGCTCAAGGAGAAAAAGGCTGAATTACGGCTTCAGTCTTACATCTTATCACTCAGACTGAGACACACGTTTGGATAGATAGTCACAGGTAAACTATAGCGGATTTTCAATACCGAAACCGAATATTTTTTTAATAAAAAATTTGGTAAGTTGCTACAGAGAATACATAGTGAGAAAGCAGATGCCAAGAGATACCTGCAAGAGAGATTGACAAAAAACACAGATGTCATCCTGTATCTGCAACCTTACTCTCCCATGTATTAGTGTGTTGAATTTGGGGAGACATAATCTCTAGGCACCTCAAATGTGAAATGGAGGTTAATATTTAAAGGAGTATTAAAAGTTCATATAATTTACACGTATAGACTCTAGCATGCCTATTAAATTCCTAGTTTTAACAAAAATAAACACAGAGGTCAGCCAGGGCTACACAGGAAAACCCTGCCTCAAAAAACCAATATATAGACAGACAGACAGAACTGGAAAGATGGCTTAGTAGTTAAGAGCATGTGTTGTACAAAGGAGTCAAGACCACGATGGGGAAACCCACAGAATCAGCTGGCCAGAGCTAGTGAGCCATCACTGACTCAGATCTGACAAATGGGGAACCTGCATAAGACCGAACTAGACTCCCTTAATATAGGTGACAGTGGTGTGGCTGGGACAATATATGAGGCCACTGGCAGTGGGTCCAAGACCTAACACTAATGTGCAAACTGACTTAGTGGAGCCCATTGTATATGGAGAGATACCATGCCCAGCCTAGACACAGGGGCATGGGGGTGGAGAGGAGCCTCGGTCCTGCCTCAACTACATGATGGGACAGACTTAGTAGGCTTCCTAGGGGAGGCCTTACCCTCTCCATGGAGCCCATGGGAGAAGGGGAGAGTGGAGGGAGAGGGAGGGAAGGATGGAGGGGGAACTGGGATTGGAATGTAAAAACTAAATTAAAGAAAAGGAATAAAGAGAGCATGTGTTGCTGCTCTTCCAGAGGACCCAGGTTCGATTCCCAGCACGTATGTGGAAGTGAACAGCTTTCTTTAACTCCATTCCAGGGGATCTAACACCCACTTCTGGCTTCCATGGACACTTGCATGTGTTGTACAGACATACATGCAGGCAAAATATCCACATACATAAAATAAAAAAGGTAAAATCTTTTGTTATCCTATTAGTGTACAGGTGTAAAAGAAGTCTAAATAAAGAAATGAATAAACTCAAGACAGCTTATTAATTGGGATAATATGAGAAAAATGAGATTTTGTACATACAAGAAAACAAGAGAGAAAGCCTATCTGTTTAATGGAAAGGTGGCCCACTGTGAATTACATTTTTCCCTTACCTTGAAAGTACCTTTAAAAAATGTATGGCTCATTTAGAGTTTCTGCTGAACATTTGATGATGTGAATGTTGAAAGCCAACAGTAATTCTCCCTGTTTGCTCTGCATCTATAGCAGTAATATATTAAGCACCAACTAATTATCAATGATAGCGACACCACCAGCCAAGCTTTTAGCATGTCATAAAAGACCTCTTCATAGCATGTTTCCTTATAAAGTCGCACAACGCCTCTCAAGAAGCCATCAAGTGGCCTCCTTTTCCTTCTTCTCCACAGCTGCCCCATTTTGTAGCCTGGTACAACTTTCTCTACCTCATTGGTTTATTTCCACAACCATTAAATTAAGTCAATGAAGTAAAGAATCCCAACATTCTCTGCCAGCTCCAAGTTCTAAGATTATTCAACTCATGCTCTTCTCTCCTTAAATCTATCCCTTCTCTGCTCCTAGAAGAGGTTCTTTCTTTTCACAGTCAACTGTTTCAGTTCTTTATTTCTCTGCCTCTAAGAAATGGATGCACAGTCCAGATGCAAAGCCTTTGTAAAACTCCAGGGATGACACACAGAGACATCCATGTGTGAGAACTGTGCTCAGCCTGAAGTCACCCAGGGCGTGTCCTTCCTGGCCGGGTATAGTGGTGTTCACCCAGGGAGGAAGGGTCTCCATCTAAAGCAAAACTGAATCAAAAAAGAGCAAATGACTACTGGGCTGAATGTGCATTGACAGGGTCTTTTCTGTCTTGTCGCAGACTTTGCAAATGGGCATCAAGCATTTCTCTGGGCTCTTCGTGCTGCTGTGCATTGGATTTGGCCTCTCCATCTTGACAACCATTGGTGAACACATAGTGTACAGACTGCTGTTACCACGAATCAAAAACAAATCCAAGCTGCAATACTGGCTGCACACCAGTCAGGTGAGTTCTGCAGGACTCTTGTGCCAGTGCCGCTGTACTTAACAATTCCCAGGGAGGCGAAGACCCAGGGGAGTCTGTCAACTGACAAATGGCAAGAGAGGGACGATCAAGCACTCAGGGTTGCAATTCATTTTATCCCACTAACCCATCTACCCATAACTTGAGGACTCCCAGTGTTCCTCCCTTTCCTGAAACACTACTCCTACACATAGAAGACACAATCTAACTGTTCTGAACCCAGTCTCACTCAACAAGGACGGTTCCCTGGAGATTCTTCCCTTGCCAAGGTGAAAGCCAGTAAGAATCTCAAGCTCCCATTTGCTTTTAAGTGGTCCCATTTCCCTGGTCTGTTTTTGCTCTGTCATGAGTTCTAGGGCTGGTTTGTGTGAGGCCATGTCTCACAGAAACAAGGTTTTCTCTTATAAGACAGGCACCATCATCCAGTTTACAAAGACGATTAAAGACCATTCGGACACACTCCTTTGCACATCCCTACCTGTGTGAAACAAATGTGGGCACCCACGCTGTACTCAGAGAGTACAGTCAGGACAGAAGTACCTTAGCAAATCACAGTTTCATCTCACCCTGTAAGGTGGATGAGCTACCCCACCGCCCCCCTGCATCCTGGTACTCCATGACTTGCCTCACCCTTGAAGGCGGGGCTGAACATGTTTCCGCTCTTGCCATTCACCCACTCTGTTACTCATTGCCTTGTTCTCTGTGTTGTTGTTGTTATTTGTTTTGTTTCTGTATTTGTTTTCTAGACAGATAACCGATTTTCTCACAGTAGAGCCCTATTATTCATCCTTTCTGGGGAGTCGTTGGTCTCCTTGAAGTCTGCAGACAAGTGATCTTCCCTGTTGTGTGCTAATACAGTTAAATCCCCAGGAAACCTGCTTCCCTTTCTTGGGTTGGCTGCTTTGGACTCAGCTCTGACAACTATACAAGGCTTCATACCATAGAGGAGTTGTTGGTTTTCCCTTCTCATCACATCCAAAAGCATTTCACCATCCAAAGCATTTCTCCTCCTTCTAGAGACAATAAGCTGTAATTTAGAATCCTCGTTACCTTGCAATGTGTGGCTAAATGTTGACCTAATTTCATGCATGCCTGAAATTTGGTTAAAGAAGCCAAGGTCTGTAGCCCCTAGATATAGTCTGTCAAATTGCAAGCAGTTGTTTGTCCCTGATATACACATTCCAAATGATCTCTATGAACCTGTTCTTCCTACCAGAGATTGCACAGAGCATTAAACACGTCATTCGTAGAAGAAAAGCAGCCACGTTTCAAGACAAAACGTGTGGAAAAGAGGTAAGAGGCCAAATCTGTTGCTAAAACCTTTGCTAAAATAAAAATTTAGACATGTGATGATACCCTATATTCCAAAAGGAAGTTACCTCTAAATAAGTATTCAGACCAAATTTGGGCAATCTGTTGATAAAATAAATATAAATACATGAATTTTCAGTTATAATGAAGTAAAACACAAAAAAACACATCCATGCCCACACACATATGTATACACCGAAATGCAACACAGGCAAAATATTGACAAGTTTAAAAATACAGGTATGTTAAACTGCAGAGGCTGGCATCTGGGTTCAATCCCGCCTCCAACATTGAACAATATGTGTTACTTAACATCTGTGCCTCAGACCCCTCATCTATGAAAACGGGTAAAAAATAAAGTACCCACTCCCAAGAGTTGTTATAAGTTAGAAATGAGATAGTAAGGGGCTGGAGAGATGGCTCAGAAGTTAAGAGCACTCCCTGCTCTTCCAGAGGTCCTGAGTTCAATTCCCAGCAACCACATGGTGGCTCACAACCATCTACAATCAATCTGGTGTCCTTTTCTGGCGTGTAGGCAGAACATTGTATATGTAATAAATAATCTTTAAAAAAAAAAGAAATGAGATAGTAAGCTAAAAGCCCTGTAAGTAAGGCAAATGTCTAATAAATACTAGTGAGTGTCATGTACCAAATGCCCAGAACCCTTCACTCCTGGGTACAGCAGTGACCATGCTTTTCAACTGAATGCCTTCTAGGCATGTTTCAATTTCTTACCTCTCCAGCACTCCTGAGAATGTGGAACATGCTACAGAGACGTCCTAAGTCCACTTTCTGGCACTCTCATCACTCCTTAGGAAAGGTCTTCACTAATAAGAAAAGGAATTAAATGTCTCAAAGGGCCTACAGCCGGTCTGTGGATGGCTGCGTCTTCATCGGAGAGACTGAAGATGTCAGAAACACTCCAGCTCTGCTGCAGCTGCCCGCGGCAGCCCTCCTGGAACTCTCACATTGCCCATGACCTCAGACAGAGCAATGACTTTGAGAATTGGTGGTACACCTTCAGCTCAAAGCTGGGATTGCTGAGTAGTTTAAAATCTGACACTAACACCTCTCGTTCATAACAGAAGGAAAATGGTATAAAGTAGGGTTCTTGTCTAGCCTGGATCTCCTCCGTGGCTGCACTGGTCTCTAGGTTGCATCTAACTTGTCACAATCATTTACAATCTCATCTTAAGGCTCCTTTCTATTCACAGAATGGCCTGTCACCTGGCTGTCAGTGTGGTATCCCCTTGTCACAGTGCAAGTCTGTTAGTGACAAGCTACAGACTACTTAGGTCACAGCTGTTCTGTTACCTTAAAGAGACTTTTCTATAATTCTTTAATCAGAGGAACACAAGAAGACATAGCTGTACATTTTTTTCCAGAAACAGAAGCCCAGTGACCCCATCCCTTTAATGGTACTCTTACACCTACGTCACCTAAGCTGAGAGGCAAATGTGGCTCTACACTCAACTTACCCACGTTTCTCAGAGTCCCTTCTTTACTCTGACAAAGAGCTAAGACGGGACATGTCTTCATCACTGGGACCCGATTAATCCCAACCTGTCACTAACAGCCTCACATTGTGGTACCACATACAATACCACAGGTTAGGGGTGGGATGGCAGGAGTCTCTGTAACTATGGAGATTTTAGGAGACAGTGGAAATGATTCTGATAAGCTGGCTACAGTCCAGAAGGATGGGACTCTAGCACTGGGGCTGCAAGCCATGATAGGGCACCATGCTTTCTACCCTTCCCTTTTATGGTGAATGGCCCGCATTTCCTGTGGCAATCTCCCTACAGCCCAGAGCCTGCAACCTTCCAAACTCCATGCGCATTTGAAGTCTCAGTTATGCTATCAGTTTTGAATAGTGCAATGGTATACTGAGATTTACTCTTACACAAGTGCTTCAATGAAGCCTGTATTGCTCATTTTACTGTGACATATTTCTCATTTTACTGGTCATGTTCACCTTTTAAGATTAAAGAAGGCTTGACCAAAACCCAATCTAATTCCTTCTAATTAGTCAATTCCTTAACACACACAAACACACACACACACACACACACACACTCCCTCTCTCTAATTAAGACACCTTATGCATTTATAGGTATTCCAGAGTCACACATAAATTACCAGAGCACAGTGAAACTAGCAACTAGAGTATGTTACAAAGAACTCCAGCTTTTGCTTATTAGTCTGTATATTCCCATACAGATGCTCCAAGATTCAGATTGCCAGATTGCCCGTCTCTAAGTATCTGATCACTATGGTTACCTGCACAGTCTAATGAGATGGGTAGACAACTTTACTTTTAGTGTTGTCCTACTGCCAATCATTCTATAGTATAGAGTCAGGCTTGCTGACTTGAAAATACCCTCTTTCTTCTCTTGAAAGAATAAAATGCAAATGTCCATGCCATTATGACATGACATTCTGCTCTATTCTCCATATTTACTGAATGAATTTGGAGGGCTAGATGAATGGAAAATTAACATGAGATTGGTGGCTTGGAGAAATTCTAGGGCAATGTACTAAGCCAGATATTAATATACATTAATGAATATTCCAAGAGAGTTTTTAACTGTAATTCATGATTTACTCAGTGTGAAAACTTCAAGGCCCAACTCTAAAGTCTGGGAAGCAGCTGGTACATAGAATCACTGTAGAACTTTCCCCCAGACCATAACACAGGAAAAGTGATCTCTGGGATGGGGGAGAGGGGTGTCTCTAGACCTATGAGTCTTCAACAAGAGAAATGCTGAGAAATGGCCAGGAGTTTTGGGGTGTCGATGTTAATACCCTGGACAGATTTCAGTCAGCTTCTGCTGTATGAAGTCACCCCAATACTTACTACCAATAATGAATAATAGATCATCTGGCTCATGCATGTGCCTGTAGCCATGGGAAAATGGGAAAGCAGCTAAGGTCTGTCTGATCAATCAATCGTTCTCTGCTGGAACAAGTAGGAAGCCTGAGAACTTTCTCCGTATCTGCCGCTATCAACAGGTCAATGACGACTTGCACGGTATCTGAAGGAATCTGAGGACAATGTGCAGGGCCCTTAGAAGTGTAGGTTTGGAACCTCTCAACCTTCTTGGTACCCCCAAACAAATGATGAGACCAGAGCCAAGGGTGGTGGCTCTTGGCTGTGAATCCCAGCACTTAGGAGACAGAGGCAAAAGAATTACCACAAGTTCAATACTATTTTTGAACTACCTAATGAATTCCAGGCCAGCCTGGGCTACAGAGTGAGACCTTGCTTCAAACAATGCTATAAGCTAGACCCCATAGACTAAGGAAAACGGTTATACATTAAAAGGGAATGAAGGATTAAATCAGTTTAGCAATCTATTTCTGGGCAAAGCATCAGAATCATTCTACTAAGCCTTTGTGTTTTGTTCTCAACTATGTAACTACATCAGGAATTCATTTTCCCTCCCCTTGTCTTTCCAACTCCAGGGCCTCCACTCCCGTTCTCCCAGGCAATTAGACCAGGCATAAAGCTGACTCGGTTTTATGAGAACAAAACACAGAGATTTGATAGGGGTTTCCCATTGTGCTATGCCACATGGTAAACTGCAAAAGTGGTTGTACTTTTCTTCCTCCTCCAGAGTAAAAGGAATCAGCAGTCACACTGCTTAGACGAACTGACCTCACAGTGAGAAACTCTTCTCATGGCATCCAACTGGCAAGGTGTATGTAGAAACTTGCCCCGCTCCCTCCCATCCCCATCTAGCGTCCTGTCTCTGTGATGGTGACAAGTGGCATATGCAAGCATGAAGGAATTGTAAATCTCTCTGTAGTCATCACCACCTCAGCAAGAATCAAGGGAGCTCTTATTTTTGTTGTTTTTAAGCATCAAACTTGAATTGTCATTCTCAATCTGCATAAAATCACCCCTGGAGTGAGAAACAAGAAGGGATACAAGTCAGTCATAAAATAATGAACCAGTGCTTAGAGCACTGCATCTGAACAAAGATTTCTCACTCATCTTAATCTCTATAGCCATAGGATATCTCCAGGCAGCACTGCTTCCTGAGCACTGCTTATAGGTAAGGTATAAAAAGGTACCTGGGTGTGGGAAAGACGGCTCTGCAAGTAAGAGTGCTTGCTCTGAAAGCAAGAGGACCCAGTTGAGTCCCCATCACCCAAACTCAACATGACTACATGTGCCTGCAACTCCAGCATTGGGGGATAGGGACAGGCAGACACTGAGAGCTTGCTGGCTAGGCAGCCTAGCCAAAATGGTAACTTTGTGGACCCTATCTAAAGCAACAGAGAAAAACACAGGATGTCTTGCTGTGACCTCAACATGTGTTTATCCTGGCAATGAACCCCACTCACCTACATTCTCTCTTCCCCCTCTTTCCCACATACACACACACACACACACACACACACACACACACCCCGGTGTTTTAAATAACTCATAAGACACCGTACCATTTCCCATGTCACCAAAAGACATCCAACTTGTGTGTCAAAGCAACATGAGGCTTGTTAAAACCTTCAATTCCATTCATGGCTCCAATTTTCCCCATGGAGCTCTAAGCAGGCACTCAGGGCGTGGTGACTTCAATTCTACAAACATAACTAGATCCTTGTTGTTTACACAGCTGATGAAAAAGATGGGGTTGCAGAACACAAGGGGACTCTGAATTCTCTGTGTTTCCTAGATCCAACATGGGACCCCAGCAGCTCATGGTATGGAATACTTCTAATCTGAGTCACGACAACCAACGAAAATACATCTTGAGTGAAGAGGGAGGACAAAATCAGCTGGGTACCCAGACCCACCAGGACATCCCTCTCCCTCCAAGAAGAAGAGAGCTGCTCCCTGCCCCACTGACCACCAATGGGAAAGCAGACTCCCTCAATGTAGCTCGGAACTCAGTGATGCAGGAACTCTCTGAGTTGGAGAAGCAGATCCAAGTGATCCGCCAGGAGCTGCAGTTGGCTGTAAGCAGGAAGACAGAGCTGGAGGAGTATCAAAGGACCAACCGGACTTGTGAATCCTAGGCAGTGCCATGGCTCCCCTTTCTCGACCCTTGGTATTCTGAAGCCCTTGAGGCACTTTGTAAAGCTCTTTTGTATTGACTGACAAAAGTATGGGGTCTCATGAGGTCTGCTGTTATCACCCAACACGCAGCAACAGCAGCAGCTCTTCCCACACATGGCCCCAGGTCTCCAGGGTAGAATCTTATCCACAGCAGGAACCTAGACTTAGTCAGGGGTAAAGTCTGCAAGCAGACCAGTGAGCAGCCAGAGAACGCTGGCTCCTGTCAACCTTTTTACCCGGTGCCACGATAATATTTCTTGTTTTTAATCCTTTCTCTGCACTTCTACAAGAGATAAAAATTGTTGCTCATACCTGTCTTACTGGGTTGGTTTTTAGTATTATTACAAAATAGAATTATTCAAGTTTGCAGATTTGTTACAACTCCCCAATCTAGATTTGATCTTATAATCTGAATAAGCAGGGTAGGAGTCAGGAAAACACGGGGAGATCAGGTAAAATTAAAAAAAAAAAAAAAAGAATAGCGCTCAGAATTGCCACAGGTAAGGACTGCCTGTCTAAGTTAGCACCGCACACAGGAGCAGCTCCGGGTCTCTGAGCCCACCCCACCTAACATTCAGCACGAACATGAGGCTGCACCACCATGAAAGAGGAAGGGAGTGAGAGCCGAGGGCAGGCAGACAGGGAGTTAGCCACGCACAAGGTACATTCAAAACAAAGCTCTGGGCCAGAAAGGCAATTTGGCTACAGAATATACTGCACTACACTTCTAATGTAAGCATCTCCACCATAGCGTGTGCCTTTTACAAAGGAGAAACAGAGCAAGGCCACGGCCTTAGCAGGAGCCTGTGCTATCCCACAGTTAATGCATTAACAGGGTCTGGGAGCTACCAGGAAGATGTTTTGCATACCACCCGTGAGGCTGTTTTCATATCAGTGGTGACCTCTTAACCCTAGGAACCCCAGAAGTACCCAGGCGGTTGTGACCACCACACATCAAATGCTGGCATCTGCCCTGTCTCACCATCCTTACACTTCCTGGTCTCTGACGAACCATGCTAAGTTCTAGTCTCCTGGCTCCACATAACAAATGAGCAGCCGCTCTGCTCAGGCCCAACCTTCTAGTCACACTATTACCATGAGATCTCTAGACTCCCTATGTTCCCAAAGGCCCTCATCCAGGTGCCGACTGCCAGGAGTTACATTAGGAGGGCCTGGCGGCGGGCTCAGAGCCCTAACACTAGCCTGCACCCCAGAACACACCACAGTCCTAAGGTTACTCCCAGAGAAGCACCACTCTGGAAGTCTGGCTGCCTCCAGGTGCGGGAGCAGGAAGGGGAGCCTGCTGTCTTTGACTTCAGCACTCAACTACTGACTGGTTTCCTCAACCCCACCTTAACACCAGAGCTCCTGCCATTTAGAAGTAGACTTCCCTGTGGAGCAACGCTGATTCATATTCTCCAGACTCCCTTGTTCAGTTATTTTCATGTCTACAATGAATGCACAACACTGCGCCACCCACCAAGTGCTCATGTCATTAAATGGGGGCCTCTGTCGTAAAACTGCCCCCACTTCAGGACACAATGTCTGCATTCCAAGAGCTGCAGAGACCCCCTGGATAAAGACGGTGCCCGAAGTTGTAATCAGAGCACCTGAACAATGAGTTAAATAGCTGGGTAAACCTAGGAGTACAAGTAAGCTCAGATGCTCAAGAGGAGTCAGGGGGCTGTAAAAAGACTTCAGCCTCACAGATTAAGCATTACAATGAGGAGGAGCCCTGAAGCGAGAGGGCAAAGCGCTTTGCAACACCCTCATAGCCTCCTGCACTCTCACCCCAGAAACCTCAGCTGCCTTTGTAAGGTTCCACACTCCAGCCATTCCCACCTAACTCTAACAGACACCCTGGAGACACTATTCCCAGCATCCCTGGATCCCTGCCCAGCCTGCAAGGCTGATGTATCATGTACCTCAAGTCACATGTCAGCCATGTTCCTGCGGTACGTGGACATCTGTGCAACAACTCCTACTCTGAATGCACCCCGAGAGAGGCTGGCTATTTAAGGGAACACAGAGGTGAATTCTTTTGTAAAGAATCCTTTTGTAATGCAACCAATTCTCCCTTCCAGTATCTGTTTTGTAAGTTTGGATTTTTGTATACCTGCTTTATCTTAAGCTTCTCTACTGAGGCATTCTGAGTAGTGGTGATCACTTTGCAGAGCATCCTGCCTACCCAGAGGGCAGAGAACCAGTGCATGCTCTTAAGAGGAACTACTTGGCCAACACTGTGGCCAAGATGCAACAAGGAGCAACAAGAGTAAAATAGGCTTATGCTGTCAGCAGCACTGCTTAAAATGCTTTCAATGTCCTGGGTGAAAAAAAAAAAAAAACCCTAATTGCTTGTGAAGCAGTTTTCATGATAAATAGCAAAATTTTTAATGGTAGTAACTGAAAAGTGTTTTGCAATTGTGAAACAGTGCTGTGTTTTGTACAAAGATTTCACAAAAGGGAGAGTCCTTCCAAACCTTTGTTCTGCTCCCCCTCAGTCCCCTCACCTACACCTCAGGCTCACAGAAGCTCCCAGGGGCACGGCTGCTGGACTGAACGAAGGGTTGCTGCCTTGCCATCTGAACTCCCATTTCACGGGACCAGGAAACTCTCTGTTCCCATCCAGGCTTTGACACTGGAAAACGTGAAATATGGCCACCTGTCCCACACACATTTCAAGGGGATGTGGCCCATTCTCCATGGGAGCCTGGCATAGGAGACACACAGAGCATGATTGGGTAAGCTGGTTTCTTCAACTAAGGGTTCCACAGTGTATTTGCCACAAGAGGAGAAAGAGTATTCCTCTAACGATAAAAGCAAGTTAGAACATCTGGGACAGCCAAAGAGGAAGCCACACAGACCTAAAAAGTGGGATCTGTAGTATGCCAGGATTTCCTATTACACGTAAGACTTGCACAGACCATGTTCAGGAATGGCTGCTTCCTTTCCAGCTGAGAAATGGTATACGGAGTCATGCAGACCAGAACAGCATCATCGAGGTAACTCCACAGTGTTGATCTGCCAGAGCCTTGGAGCATGGTTGAGCACCCCTTTGGGTGGATCAAGAAAGGAAAAGAAACTACTTTGGAGTCTCTTTTCCTCTCAGCTCATCTTTGGAAATCCACCGTCTTCAGCAGAATTGCTTTTCTAGTCATTAACCCACTCCAGCACCTGCATCGTTCTGTTGTGCCTTCCCCCGCCCACTCTCCCATCCCTGCCAAACACGTCCTATCTAGGAATTCCCTCACTCTCTTTCGTTTAGCTGCCAATCATTTTATGAAAATGCAGTGCTTCTAAGTATTTCCTAAGGTCTGTGAAGAGTGTTCGCTCTGCGTCTTCATTTCAGTGTGCGTGCGACGGCTCCGCTCCAAGAGCTGAAATGCTGTCTTGTGAGCATGACGTGAACAGGCTGTTTTCCTCCAGCCACTTTTCTTGTACAACTACGCGGATGGACGAGATGTTCTCGGGTCTTTTCCATCTTCGGTTTCTATGACTGTGGAATAAATGTTCAGAAGAAACTTCACTTTCAATCGTGTTGCTGGCATTCTTTGGGGATTCCAATATTGGCAAGACACTAGCCCTTCCTCACAAGAGACCCACTGATGCAAGACTTAGGTGACTTAGGCATGTTTCTTTGGTCTAGTCCATAACAGTACAAGTTATGCTGAGAGAATGCAGTGCCTGGGCATTAGGAAGCAGAAACATCTTCATATGAGAAAGACATTATAGGAAAACCCCACTCTCCACTGGTCTCTAAAGTACCCTAATCATCTTCCTTTAATAGTTCAACAAGCATATCCCAGACAGTTTCCATTTACACATCACCGGCTAAAACAAACAGTGGAAAGGGCAGGTATGGTCTCAGCCTTGGGGGACCTTCTCTCAACTTGATCTTTCTAGGACTTATAAACATACCATAATAGCCAACATTGATGGACATTTATTATAAGACATGGGCTCATTTAATCATGTGGTTAGATTACAACCACCTGATGCTAAATACTTCAGATGTAGTCTAGAATAGTTAAATACTACTTACTAGTTTACGGGTAGAAAAAACAAGTCAAACATTTTGTAATCAGCCCCAAGGTCACATAGCTAACAACAGCAGCAGAGGTTAGTGTTCAAACAGCACTACCATAACACAGCACTGTCAGCACTTTGGTCAGTGCCTGCCCCTCCCTCCTCCAGTGCCCCCGATCCGTCTCATTCTGACCCACGCCTATAGATCTATAGGGTCTATAGATCAGAGGGAAGCTGAAATGACAACTGCAGTTGCGCAAGTCCAGCAGACTTAAGACTGTAGCCACCCCAGTCTCACCAAAACAGTGCACCTGCATTTGTTCTGCCTTCCAAGTCCTGCCAAGCATGCGTACAAACAGCTTCCAACCCTCAAGTCAGCAGCCCTCCAGACATGCAAGCATGCATACAAACAGCTTCCATTCCCTCAGCTCAGCAGCCATACAGACATGCAAGCATGCGTACAAACAGCTTCCAATCCCTCAGCAGCCCTACAGACATGCAAGCATGCGTACAAACAGCTTCCATTCCCTCAACTCAGCAGCCATACAGACATGCAAGCATGTGTACAAACGGCTTCCAATCACTCAGCAACCATACAGACATGCAAGCATACGTACAAACAGCTTCCAATCCCTCAGCAGCCATACAGACATGCAAGCAGTTTCTGATAATACAAGCAATTTCAGCAGCTTGCAAACTTGCCTTCAATATTCTTCTAGCCTGATATATTCTATACATACAATCTTCTGAAACGTAACCAAGTCAAATACCATAAAAGTATGCGCTTACTGTAACCTGGTAAAACTACTAACTTCTCAAGGGTGTTGTGCATCATTCATCATTCATTCGTTCTGGGAGTCCAGATATTGAATATGCTGCTGCAGATAGCAAGGTAACAAGAGATTCTGAACTCAGGGACCCATAGGGCTCAGTCTAGTTGTGTATGAGATATATAATCTAGCAACAAAATGTGGTAGTATTTTGATAAAGGAATGCACACCAGAGCCAGGGAGATGACCTGCAGTTCATACATGAGAATCTGAGTTCATATATCCCCAGAACCCACGTAAATGCCAAGTGTAGTAGTAGGTATCTGTAATCACAGTGCTCCTATGGGAAGGTGGGAGGCAGAAACAGGAAACTCTCTGCAAGCACATGGGAATAGAAGAGACCTGTCTCGAGCAAGGTGGAAAGCAAGAGCTGGCACCTGTTGTCCTCCACACGCATGCAGTGTCAAACGCACACGCACACACGCACTCATCATACACGCACTCACACACAAAACTAATGTTTAACTGTAGGTCAAGTCCTACAGCCGCAAAGGTGACACCTGCTACACATGCATGCCATAAATTAAACTTTCCATCATAAATATTTGAAATGTTAAGAGTCTACTTCAATATTTGAAAAGCACTTTGTAAAGAGAGAAAAAATAAGGCTTCAATTCACGCACATGTACAATAAGAGAGACTTCTGAACAGCTGGCAGAGGGAACAGAGCTGAATTATTAAGACAGTTTATTGAGCATTGTGTGCCTCTGCTACATGTTGGGGATTAAGATGTTAAGACACTGCCCTTTCCAAATCCAAATCTCAGTAACTGTGAACCAGGTCATAAGACCTTCACAGCTAATGTCAGGAAGGAACCAAAGTTGAGCAGAAATCCTTGGAAGGTAAATCTAAGCGTTATATCATGGGACAATTAGTATTCCAAACATTTAAGATCTAAATATTTTTCCCATGCCAAGGATTTCTCATTGTGCAAATCTAACCCAATACACATACAAGTCAACAATTTCTTATTTGGTTCCCACTTACTTTACAAAAGCCAATCAAGATTTTAATGACAGTAACTAGTTGCCTTAGTTACTTTTTTATTGTTGTGATAAAACTACATGATCAAGGCTACTTTGAAAAAAAAAAAAAGCATTTAATTTGGGGCTGACAGTTAAGAGGGTCAGAGTCTAATACTATCACAGCCAGGAGCATGGCAGCAAGCAAACATGGTACTAAAACAGTAAATGAGAGCGCCCTTCTCAATCCACAAGCACGGTAGAGAGCTAACTAGAAATGGCATGGGCATTTGTAACTTTAAGGTTCCTCCCCCAGCAAGGCCACACCTCCTAATCCTTCACAAACAGTTCCACCAACTGGGAACTCAAATATATGAGCCTATGAGTCATTCTCATTCACACCATTACACAAGTCAAAGTATTTCTTTAGACGCACTGAGACTTGGTTATCCTCAGGAAAAACAAACAAAAACACCTCCACCAAAAAAAAAACCTTGAAGAACAAAATGTAAAGGCGTTCCACTTAATATATCACTTCTAAGAAGAATCAACATCACCATTCCAGTTGATCTAGAAGACAAATAATTTATTGTCTTAGCACTATCAAATCATGTGTCACTCCAATAGTATGCATGCTACTCTGTAAGTGCAGCATTCCTGTGTCCTTGGAGGACAAGGATGGCTAGTGATCTGAACAGAGAATAAGAAAAACCAAGTCTCCAATAGAAATTCATGAAGAAAATAAGAGCTAGCAGAAACAGCTCATTACCTCTGAAAACGATCCCTGTGATTAAATAGAAATAAGCTATACATACACCTCCAATTGAGTATGCCTGATTTTGGTCAACATCACTAAAATGTTTCTAACTGAAAGCAGGGGAAGGAAAGGGGAGTGAGAAACGCAGCAGGAAGGAGAGGGAACTTTCTACAATATCTAACACTTTCTACTTTAAACTGAGGAACTTTGCCATAGAGAAACTACCTTGTATGTTTCTATGGATCTAGAGCTGTCTAGAATGTCCAGTTCTGAAAATTCCTCTGAGGATCTGAAGAGCTGTTAAGTCATGTACTTAAAACCAAAACAAAATGTGACATGAAATTTCAGATGTATTCCAGAAATGTATTCACAACCTCCCATACAAGGAAAGAAAATTTGTTGGGAAAAAAAAAAAATCACTATTTTTGAACATTTCCTAAAAACGACCTTGTGAACACACCTTGTGTTGTCTGGAGCTCAATTTCTCACTTAGAGCAGCTGGCTGCTCGTTATGCTCAAGCTTGCCCTGTAATTACCATGTCCTGGTAATAAATACAATGGCCACATCTAGGAGCAGGGCCTAAACCCAATATGCTGTGTCCACACAAACATACATGTATATATGGCTGGCAGCAGAATCAACAGACCAATGGCCTCTCTTAATAACCAGGTGAACCCCATACAACTAGATTCAATTCTTAAATCCCTATCATATAACAGTGGAATTCACAAGGCCCGATGGTGACAGACAGTAGAGACAGACAGGGAACATGGCCTTAACTTTATCTAGGCTAGGTCAGGAGGGATCCACTTTATATAAATCCTTTATCAGACAGAGAAAACTGCTCTATTAAGTTTCTAAGAAATTCAAAGTGCTCACCCCAAAGCCCACCAGGGTAACTACTTCTTACCTGCACAGCAATCTGGAGGAGACCTAAGCAATCTCTCCTGTTGGGGGACATTCAATCACTGTAAACCTCAAGTTAGCATCTGCGCTAATTAAATAAATTAACCATGGGTCAAAAGGCTGAGTTAGAAAGTGGTTGACAGAAAGTAATCAGAGAGCATCTGGACGAGATGCATGCACTGGAAGCAGTAGGGAGGGGTTTTGAGTGGCACACCTTATGTTTTTTTTTTTGAGTGGAAGGAGGGGCCCTTTCAGGAGATGCCAAAAAGGGGAGGTTAGCTAGTTGCTACCCAGCCCCTCTGGACTAGCAGGTTTTACCCCAGATGTTGAATCTCAAGTATTATTTATAAATAGAGTGACAGTGATTTAGCTAAAGCTATCTTTAGTGGCAATGACAGAGCAGGTGCCTGTGGGAACTGTGGCCTGAGTGGCCATGCCGTGGTAACTGCAGAGCCACAGTTGCTGGCTGAAACAGCAGGTTAAGGCACAGCCCCTGTGCTGCAGATAAAACAACACTCTCCCCTATAGGTAGTCAGTATGGACTCAAAACAACTGGCAAGGGAGAACTGATAGAAAAGAGAAAAGAAATACTGGCAACACAGCCAGTCTCTTAATTTTATTAATTCTGTTCAAAAGAATCATTTCACTGGGGCAAGGCGGCACACATTCCCAATCTTGGCTCCAGCGAGAGACTGAGAAAAGGGACCCGTCATGATTCAAGGCCAGTGTTGGCTATATAGCAAGAGATCCTATCTTAAAAGAATCAGTTTTGGAATAGCAGACATAATAAAATCAACTATTTGTAAACAACAACAAAAAACCACAAACACAAAAACAAACTGAAACCTGCTTTACTTGGAAGTTATGTGGCATATTTTAAAATCCCACAGAAACATTACTGAGACTCTTCTGGAAAACGGGGACCATGTAATTCCTCTCAAAAGAAGGATAAAAGCAATTCATAGCTCACAACAGCTCCCTGGGTTGCATTCCCAGACTACCCCGATCTGTTCAATCTCATTCCAGACAATTCTTAAGTTCTAATTCTGACTGCAGTAAAAAAAAAAAAAAAAGAACAGAGCGGCTATCCTGTTTGAAATATTCTGGCCTTAAGAAACTAAAAGCCTATTAAGTATCTGAATATTTAAAACATAAATAACATTAGCAAGAAATCCTAAGTGCCCCTAAAAGTCACTTAGGTAGAAGTGAGGAATGGGCTGAATTATCCTGGATACAATTTCATTAAGGCTTCAAACCTTACAGGAGAAAATATCACAATTATACCATTTTATAACCTAGGAAAAGGTTTACTTCCCAAATCAAGAAGTTTGGGCCCACAGAAAGCTTAGTTCTAAAAGTTCTCTCCTCCATAGTGGCGTATGCTCACTCCACCTGCATTGCCGTCTCAGTGTCAAAACTATCAGTCTGCCTTCTCCAGAAGGATTGGGCAATCCAAGTTAACAGGTTAGGCCCAAGAAGAAAACGCTGAAAGCAGTACACAAACCAAGCTGGCAGGGAGACGAACAGTGGCAGCTTGCAGTGCACTCTAAAACTCGAGGCTTGAGGTCTCTTTCTCACTAGTGTTCTCTAGCTACAGGAGGGGAGAGCCTGGACACAGTCTGAGGAGCAAGGGAGTTGGCCAACGTCAAGGAGAGAAGAGGTAGAGGCCTGGTGATTCATGGGTAAGTGCTTGCCTAGCCAGCTCCTCTCTCTCAACCGTGATCAGCCAATGTAGATGCGATGGAAGTCGTTGGCACCAAAGGCGGCGTTACACTTGGGGCACTTGCGCTGGCGAGTGTCATAGCGAGTCTTGACACACTCAAAGCAGAAGACGTGGAAGCACTTGGTGAGTACCGCATCCTTTTTCCGCATGTTACAGCAGGGGCAGGTCAGGCGAGCCTGAAGAGAGAAAATCAGAGTCAGAGCAACGGAAGCTTACAACCCGAAAGGCTACAATATGCAAGCAAATAAACAAGACCACGGAGCTCGAGAGAAAGAGTACTGTTTTCCCTAAAACCATTCTCCACTTGCCTTCACGTGCAGGTCAGTGTGTACTCTCTCAGGGCTCCAGGACCCCCTCTGCCTTTGTGTAAAGTCAGGACCTACTGTCTCAGTGCATTAGTAGACCACTACAGGCCCCGACAAACACAAAGACACCACCGAGTCACATTTTCTAACCTTGTAGTCCTTTATCTCCTCCATCAAAATCTCATCACACTTGGGCACATTGTCTGGCTTCTTGGTGGTTTCCAGCTTCCTTCGAAGCCTAGAGATGTCCTCCTGCAGCAAGATAGTAAACACAATAGACACATTTCCCACCTGCCACTTTTGACAGAAATAATTTCCACAACCTGACTTTTCTGCTGTTGAAGCAAGGAACTTTCTGTCCTTTCATGTCCAGTTAGCTTTAGGAATGTAGGAAATTGCAAAGGCCTGCTTACAAGACACTTGACTCAGAACAGGCAACCCTAATCCTATCTGTTGCAGAGGTTCTTCCCTGCCAGCCCGCCACCCTTTAGCCCCAAATAAACACACAAACACTATATTAATTATAAAGCAGTTGGCCAATGACTAGGGCTTCTTATTGGCTAGCTCTGTCTTAATTATTTACCCATTTCTATCAATCTATGTACTGTCACGAGGCTGTGGCTTGCCCAGTAATGTCCCAGCATGTTGTTACTCCTTCAGCAGCAATGCTATGCCTTCTGTCTACCTTTTCCAGAGTTCTCGTCTCCTAGTCCCACCTATCTTCCTGCCTTATTGGCCAACAGTGTTTTATTCATCAACCAATAAGAGAAGCATGTATACAGAAGGACATCACCTATCATCTATCCCCAACTTAGAGCTGCACCAGTGAGAGCACTTTCGGTCAGGTAAAAATATAACCCAACTCAAGAGAGTAGGCTGCCTTATTTTGTGGTAATGAATTTTATGGTGATGGTCGACCTGGATTAAATAATTTACAGATCTTTGGAAAAGGAAGAAGCCACCATAAGAAACAGGCTGTCATGAGAAAATGAGAAGAACAGCAACGTGATTTTAGCCTTCTACTGAAGTTGTATTACTACTTAACAGTTCACCACTTTACAGATTTTGTAGCTATTTGCTTCACAACTAGTAGCCATGGCATGAAGCAGGCAACGCCAGTCCCTTCCCACAAGGCCCTTCAGTCTAGCAGTTCATGGTGTTCAACACTTACCATAACCCTCAAAAAGCACTGAACAGGTAAAAATAAAGACAACTGCTCTTGCCTGTGCTCGTTTGAAATTGAACAAGTCTTTTTCTTTGGTGACACTGTTCTCTACAATTTCATCCTGAAAGTCATGGAGCTTCTTCTGAGCCAATTCCAGCTGTGCTCTGAGGTCATCTGCAAGCTGGGCTGCCTCCATCGCCTACGTAGAATGCAGAAACACCCTCTTATCATTCCTTCTTCTACGGAGGGGAGTGACATCCAGAATGAACTAAAGACTCCGGGCAGGCTATGCTTGCATGCCCCTGGAGTGCACCCATCACAGCAGGTTACAGAGGCCAGCATACCTTGCGCTTATTCATCTCCAAGGCCTGAGTCCTAAGGCCCAGCTCCTTCTCCCCTGTGCCAATGTTACTCTGAAGCAGGTGCTCCTTCTCTTCCAGCTTCCTCACTACCTGTAACTGGGCGTCCACCTGTCAGGAGAAAAACCAGACTTCAGTGTGAACAGGTAGGAAAATAAAATGATTATATTAATTTACTCAAAAATTACAAGTCAAAAACGTCAATCTACTGTTGACTTTTCCCATGAAATTTTCAAAATATATTGAAGATTATGATTACTGAAGGCTTCAATTTTTCACATGAAATACCTCATGAATATTCAGAGTTTGGGAACCTAAATTACAAATAGAACATTATATTTACAGATACTCACCTTCTATAGCTCTACTAATCCTCAAAACATGGCCACTCCTACCAGAACATAAACACTTGACTCAAACCAAATTTAACTCCATTTCTTTCAGAACAGCTAAAAGTTCTGAAGTAGACTTTTTCTTGAAATCAATCCACAAAGTAGAATCAAACAATCCCAACACGTTTAAAGTAAAATCACACATCCACTTCTGGCCTCTCACTCACAAACTCTCACCCCAAAATCTAGAAGCAACCAAGTCAGAACAAACACTATGTGAGACTCTAACACACACTTTAGCTGGTAGCACTTTCGTCACACACAAAGAAGCCATGGTGATCAGCTTTCATGCAGACAGATCCCTACTTCAACAGAACAGAGAACTCCACTCATCCAAGCTACCTGAGTCTTCAGTGTCAAAACCTGATCAGCCAGCTCCTCCTTTTCCTCTTTAAGCAACTTATGGATCTGATTGGACTTGATTCGCTCTGACATCAGCTTGAAATTTGCGTCATCTTTCTCCCGCAACTGCTGCATCAAACGGATGTTCTGCTCCTGCATGTCCTCAAAGGCCTGTCCTGTGACATCCATCTCAGAGAGGAGAGCTTCTTCCTCCTAAAATGAGGATCAATTAGAAAATTTGCTAATGCCAAAGATGAGCAGAGGAAAACAGAACTTCCTTCCCTCTGTTCACCTGCATTAATCATAAATATAAAAACTTGCATTTTCTAATCACTATATCCTTCGATCCCAGTCAGCAGAGAAAGAAGAAATCCTCAGTAAACAATGTCTGAAACAACAGCTAGTCCACTGAACGTAAAAATAAATTCTCTGCCATCAGATACACAAAGCAAAATAGGGAGGAATGACAGACAAGAACTTCAATGTAATAACAAAGAAAATGATAAAACTATGAATAGCAAAGAGGAAGGATTAGTCAAACTGCACTGGCAGTGACTTCCCTTTCAGATTTCTACTTGAAATGCTGGCAAACAAGTGCCCACCCACCTGCTTGGCCATGGCTAACTTCTTCTGCAGGTATTCGATCTGCTCCTCCACTGCCCGGATCTTCCTCAAGGCATCCTCATCAGCCATTTTCTTGTTCTCTTTCTTCTCCTTATCCTCCAGATCCTTGAGTCTTTGCCTGAGATCCTCCAACTACAGGAGGAAAAGATCATATGAAAACTAAGAGAAGCCACCAAACGCTTCCAAAAGTCAACGTTATGAACACATAGACCACATAACCAAACACTAAAGAATTACGGAACAGGATAAATGATAAACTGAGAATGATTCAATTTCGCACACCACTCAACATCATTCCCGCATTTCATGCACCTATAGGCAGATATTTTGCCTACTACACATAGTTTTCTTAGGAAGTATTCACAGTCTTCTCCTTTGGCCTCAACTTTTCAAGAATAAAAACTTTTCTTTTGGGGTGGAGATGGAAGTACAAGTCTTTAATCCCAGCACTCAGGAGGAAGTCACATGGATCCCTGAGAACTGTAGGACAGCCAAGGCTACATAGAGAGACCCTGTCTCAAAAAGCCAGAAACAAACAAACAAATAAAACAAACATTCCTCTCAGGGCTGATGGGATGGCTAGGTAGTTAAGAACACTGGCTGATCCTCTTGAGGATCCAGATTCAATGCCTGGAAACCACATGGCAACTCACCAGCATCTTTACCTCCAGGTCTAGTGCTCTCTTCTGGCCAGGCACACAAGTACAAGTGATGCACAGACAGGCAGACAGGCAAGAAAAGCATCCGAACACAAAGGAATTACAATACTAACCCTCTCAAATGAAGCCAGAAAAAGAGAAGTACTACAATAATAACAAACACAAACTGCTAAGAATTTCTCAGGACCAATTAAGGAATGAAAATTTTAGAAATCTACTACAAGTTCTTATAATTTTTACATATCTTACTATTTTGCAGAGAATTTTAAAAGGCGTATTTTACAGTCTTTTTGTTGTTGTTGTTTGTTTTTTGGTTTTTTTTTGTTTGTTTGTTTTGGGTTTTGTTTTGTTTTTCCTTTTTTGAAATAGGGTTTCTCTGTGTGCCCCAAGCTGTCCTGAAATTCACTCTATAGACCAGGCTGGTCTCAAACTCAGAGATCAGCTTGTTTCTGTCTCTCGAGTGCTGGGATTAAAGGTGTGCACCACCACATCCACAGACAAAGTCGCTAAGTTAAACATTAGCAGTAAAGATGAAAGTACAAAAGACAAGCCCACAAATGAAGACTGTCACCAGAATGGCAGGTGACAGAAGGCTCAGTTACCTCAGCCTTTGACTTCTTCTCGGCTGCCATTAGCTGCACTTTGTCTCTCTGCTCCTTGGGGGCAGAGCGATACATATCTAGCAGAAGTTTCATCTCCTTCTGGCTCTCTTGTGCTTTCCTGTGACAGGGTGGCAGAGGAAAGGAACAGCAGTGAGAAAACAAAGGACATCAGAGCAAGAGCACTGGGGACGGAACACAATGTTCTGTAAGTTTTCTCCGCTGCGTCACCAGGAAAGACAGTTTCATAGGTCACCAATAGACTTCTGGGATGTACTAGGAGAGCACAGAAATCTATACACATGCGTCATTTCTCTGTTCAACTCTGCAACATAACGTTATAAACTACGTAACTGTGGCACTGGTGACATAGGCACATTTAAGTGGGGCCACTCAGAAACTCAGAGTTTGTACACAGATCTGGGATCTAGTTAGTCAAATCATTCAAATGGTTTTCTCTTTTTAATAGGGGGGAAATGGGTTTACTTTTAAAAAAAATCAAAAAGTAGGAAATTTTAAAAGTTTAAAATAAACTGCTCATCCTAGGATTGGCAAATGGCAGTTGTAAACATCAACTGGAGACTAACACACCATCTCTTACTAAATTCTTAAGCTAAACTACATGTGAGCTCAAGTACTTTAAGCACGTCGAACCCTTAAATTCAAAGTGTAAACCATGAAAAACAGAGTCAGAAAAGCCAGTTCCACCAGACATTATTGTTTACGCAGGAGGACAGAGGTAATGTTGCACTGAGTAAAACTATCCTTCTGTCTGAATTCTGCAGGAGGAAAGTGCCTAAGGAATTCTTGGTTTGGGCTGGCATACCTCCAAACCAGTCAACTGCAATGAACTAGAGATGTAGGATAATTTAAAACAGCTGTAATGCCAACAAATTACCCAAATCTAAAAGCAATCATCAATTTCCAGTATTCTCTGGTGTACTACTTTAATGTGATATCCGTTCTCTTAATATGAACTCAAGAGAAGTAAAGGCTTCATCCAAGAGCAGTCTGGTTCCTAACCACTCAGCAACACTGTACAATATAGCCAGGTCGGCCATCTGGCTACATCTCCAACCGAAAGCTGAAGCCATGCTAACTGTACATTAAGTGCATCTGAAATGCTAGGGAAGGGCTGGCTGAGCACACCACGAAAGGACGTCTCCCTCAGGTCCCAGCTCTGAGCCCTGCAGGCAGCTTACTTGAGCTCAGTCTTCAGCTGCTTCATGACCTCTGCTTCCTTCTTCCTGCCATCGTCATGCTTCCCTTTCTCCTTGTCCTTAGCACAGTCTCTCTCTTTTTCTGACTCTTTCAGCTTCTGTTTCTCTCGTTCTCTCTCCTTTTCCTTCTCTCGTTCTCGTTCTCGCTCTCTCTCTTTCTCCCTCCTTTCTCGTTCTCTCTCTTCTTCATCCCGTTTGGACTTAACTTCACTGGGATCCTCCTGAGAGGCCTTCGATGCTGAAGAATGAGTGGACAGGTCCTCAGAATCCTGCTTGAGTTCTGTGGGTTCATCCTTGGGGTCCTCAGTACTAGACTGAGACTGCAGGAGGGCACTGCCACTGCGCAGACGAGTCTAGGAGACAAAGCCAGGAGAGACACATGTCACCTCTGCGGAGCACCCTGCTTCCCTCGCTCATAACGAACGCCCTTACCATCACCATGGCAAACTACGCTTATTCCGCTGCTCCAGGTACCTTGTTCAGGTCAGACTGTGCCTCTCTCAGTTTCCGTTTGTACCTCAGGACCTCCCCCTTCAGCTGGTGGTTGTGATTCTGGAGGCTGCTAATGAGATGGCGCATCTCCCGGTTTATGGGACCTGAAAACAGCAGCGGCGATATGAAGAGCCTTGAGAAGAGCAAAGGCTCACAGGAGTCAGCTCAGAGCAAACCAGGAACTTCTGAATAGCAAGAACAGGTACCAAAAAAAATGCTCTTTCTCAGAAGGTGAAAATGAAATTGCTTGAGTGAATTAAAACAAGCATCCAGGCTTTGGATCAAAATGAATTACAGGATTTAACTCCAGGTACCTCGCGTATTCTGAGTTAAGTTAGAATTAACAAATCCCCAAATCCCCCGTTTTATTTCAAAGAAAGAATGTACAACAGACAGAACACAGGGTGGAGGAAGAGTGATCTGACCTGCTTGTTCGTTGGCAGCAAGGGTTTGCTCAAACTCTATCCTCAGCATCTCATACTCCTTGCGGACTTGGGCCAAGGTATCTTCCAGCTGGATCACTTCTGTCCTCAGTTTCTTATGCAGACTCACCTCATCACGCTGCAGATAAAGAACCGATAAAACGTTCATATAACTGTATTCTGTCTCCTAAGTTCAACCTGTAACAATCTAAAATGACTGGGGAAAAAAAGAACTGCTAAAGGAAGAATGCTCACAGATGTGATTTAGAAACAAGGCTTTAGAACCTGGTCAGACACTGAATAAATACAGGAAATGGCATCTTGCTCTGAGATTACATTTCAGTTGGAGAACAAACCACACACTGTCCAGAAGTAAATATAAACTACCATTAAAACTCCAACTACCTTAAGGACTATAGAAGACACAAAAGTAAACATAAAAATCAAAGTTTTAGCTTCAAACTAATTCACCTAAAGTGCATCAAATGCCACAACGGCACACAATCACACAGAGAAGACAAAGCAGACGAGGGACTGGCTGGCTCAGTGGTAGAATGCTGGGTCCCATTCCCACTAGAGTCACAAAGGAAAGCTCAGTTACCTCAATGAGCTCCACCTGGCGCTGATGAGTTCCCCGGGTACCATGAAGCAGAGTCCGCGCTTCATCCAAATGGGCTTTCAACTGTAGACTCTCATTGTACAGGACAGAGAACTGTGACTGCATGCAGCGGTATTCTGGAGTTTCCTTAACCACTTCCTCTACTGCGCTCCGCAATTCCACCTTAGGAGGTCCAAGGAAAACGCAAGTCAGAACCAGAAGGAAGCACATATCTTCCCCACGTCACTTAAACTCACTGATAGCCTCATACACTTGAAACCATTACTCAGAACATTAGGAAGTCTATACTCTGCTCTTGAATAAAACTCAGTCCCTGCATAAACTAGGTCACCCAGGACTATTCTGATAAGTGTTTCACATTGTTTCAACCCCAATCCAAAGAAGCTAGAATAGTTGCTGGAAGAGTTGCATGAAACTTACCTGACCAACACATTTGTTCCAAACACACAACGTCAGACCCTAGTAACTAGCTGTTCTTTATTAACTGTCACAGAGAAAATATTTCTGACTGCAAGTAAAACCAGTCATGTTTTTTGTAAGCAACAATATGCTTTAATTTCCCAAGAATTTCAATGAAGTTCTCACTTTCAGTTCAAATATCTTTACTATTTGTTAACTTAGATAGAAACTATAAATAACAGGCTATGGAAGACCTCCAGAAGAATCTTCTTTGTTCCCCTAAGACTCTGCAAGGGGAAATTCTAATAGGCAGGACTGAATACCAATGGATCACTAACCCTGCATCTACAGGAAACTATGGAGCCAAATCCATGGCAACAAATACCATGTGACGGACACTCCCGCACAGCATGCACATTTTATCTTACAAACACTCATTCTTACCCCACTCACCCTGATAACTCTACTGCTCAGTTTTCCAACCAATTCTAAGTCAGAGAACCTTGATTTAGTCTTTGAATCTCTACTAGCTACTCTAAGTCTGTCTCAGAACAAAACTTGTACAGACAAAAAGTACAAAAGCAAGTGAGTACACAGCACACCAACAAAGCTGCTTTTCTCCCTGGTTTTACTGGAAGAATCAAATCAGAGCTGCACAGAGTTAGGATATACGGCATGGTGTCCTTTTAGACAAGTTCTGTGTAAAATAACTACCACTAACAAGCCACTTACCATGTCAGCTCTTTGTATACTCAAAACATTTAAGATCTGCTCTCCAAGCATATTGTAAGTACACAATACAGAATTATCAAATTCTTCGCCATACTGTACATGCGGCCTCCAGTGTTTACACAAGCTGCAACTGAAACTCTGGGCCATACAATAGGAACTTCTCCCATTGTCACCATTCTATTCTCTGCTTCTTAAGAGACCCGCTCTCTTAGCATCCATACTTCAAGTAGTGTCTGTCCTATGTCACTTAGCACAATGTCCTCCAGTTTAGCAATGCTACCACAAATTAAGTTACTTCTTTTCAAGGCTGAATAACATTGCATTGTACACCTATACATTTTCTTTCTTTGACTCATCTTTGGTTAAATGCACTATTTGTAATGCTACTATAAAATGAGATCATTTCCATAAAGTGTGTTGTTCTACAACTTAGCTGAACCCATCTCTAGTTGTCAAGGGCCTCTGTAGTCCCTGTATGTGAGATCCTCACACCTGCAGAGACAGCTTTACTCCTTCTTCTCCAAACTTTCCAGCCTGGAGCCCTTGTCTCATTCCTACCCATTGCTTGTAGCTGACCTTCTGTATAACACTGACCAGAAAGACAAGCGTGGCTGTCCTAACCTTGCCACTCTTCACAGGCATGAGCAGTGAGAGGGTTACAAACGGCCTTTGCTTTGTTAAGGTGCATGGCGCTACACCTAATTTGTTAGGCTGTATCATGGAAGAGGCTCAATTTGTCCAAATTTTTCTTGTCCCTCACAGTATGCAAGTTCACATGTTGACGAACAAAACACTTGCTTTCTCTTGCCCTTCAGACTTGTGCCTCATACCTTCAACTTTTCATTCTGTGTAGTAACCTCTTCAAAGTCTTGACGAAGTTTCTCTAGCTCACAATGTCGGTTCTGAGCCAACTCTTTGTTCTCCTCAAGCTCTGCATTCATCTCCTCAAACTGGAAAGGATCAGGAAAACAGCAGATAAGAATGAAGAAAAGGACCCCTCACAGCCCAACTCATGCTTCCCGTGTTCACTGCTCCTCTTGCAAATGCCATCTGTTGCCTGAGAACCAATCCCAGTTCCTAGGCACAAGGCCTGTTCCCAATGAAACAGCACATCCCCAGTGGGGCAGACTTTACCTTCCGGGCATTGATGGTGATTGTACCTCCATAGAGACTGCTCCCTGCACCATACACCTTATAGCCTTTTGAATTCACCTACAGAGGAGAGAGACCGGAAGATTTCAGTTGCATGAGAAAGATGAGTCCTGAAAAAGAAGCTTGTGTGTTTGCAGTAGATGCTAGTTACTACAGACATACATACAACTGGTCACAGTATGCAGAAAACATGGCAAGTGCTCAACCAAAAACAGGACAGCGTGAAGGGGAAAGTGCTTGCCTTACCCTTAGCTGAAGACATATTGGCAGCTGATGGCTGCTAAGGGAGGGAAAGTCATTTTTCTTTGGGGCTGAGGCCCTGGTATGTTGCCCACCCATGAGCATATATATAGCAGTTCTAATAGGACTGGGTGGGTTATTAAAAAAAAAAAGATGTTTGGAGTGGCACTTATGGAAAAGAGTTCTAGAAGAACTGCATGGAGGATGGACAGAATAAAAACACATTGTGTACATGTATGAATGTCTCAAAGAAAAAGGAAAGACTATTTTCTAGAAAGATAATGGCTGACCAGTTAAAAGCACGTGCTGCTCCTGCAGAGGAGCCCAGCTGAAGCTCCAAGCATCTGCACTTGGAGACTCAACCCTGTGGAACCCAATGCCCTCCTCTGGCCTCCGGTCACTGGCACACACAAGACACACATTCCCTTCTCTCTCACACACATGTACACACATAAATAAAAAGTAGCTTCATAAATAATTTTGAAAGCCTTTATAAAACAGCACTGACCCGTTCTAGGACTTCAGCCAGATGTCGGTTGAGCCGCTGTTCTCTCTTTCGAATTTTGTCAATATCCCACTGCAGGTCATCAATCATGGACTCCAAGACAGATACCCGCGACTCAGCCGTCTCTACTTTACCCTGCAGCTTACAGAACTACATCCCAAAGACAGGCATTCAGAAACAACAAAAAAAGATCAAGTCAAAAAAGTTCCAAATTAGCCGGGCAGTGGTAGCACACGCTTTTAGTCCCAGCACTCGGGAGGAAGAGGCAGGTAGATCTATCTCTGTGAGCTCAACCAGCCTAGGCTACAGAGCGAGTTCCAGGACAGGCTTCAAAGCTACACAGAAAAATCCTGTCTCTGAGGGAAAAAAGAGTTCCAAATTCCATAGAATTAGCCCTTGCTCATGTACAATTATTGAAAAGAATTATTCAACACCCAAGTGTAAAAAAATAGTCATAAATAAGAGTTGAACAGTTGAACTGTTACAATCACGCAAACAAGCAATTACTAAGAACTTTCGCACAAGAGAAAGATCGCTTAACATTCAATAATCTCTCTACCCAAGAAAAGTATCATTTCCCTATTCAGACCACATGCTCATCAGAAAATGAAGATTAAAAAAAATCTGGCATCAAATATTTTAGAAAACATGAATTCAAACCAGTATTACTACCACCTTTCTCATTTCTCTCTCTACATATCCACAAATGATAATCCTCATAGAACAAAATGGAAACTTGCAGTGCTTTTAAGCTGACTCTAGAGCAATTTACAATTAGGTTGTCTGTGAATGTGAGCATGTGTGTATATGTGTGTGTGTGTGTGTGTATACACTCATGCATGCGTGCATGAGTGTCCAGGTATACATGTGCCACAACTTGTTTTATGGAGATGAATAACCACATAAATCCTTGCCTTCCATCTTGTTTGAGACAGGATTTCTTGTCCTATGTCACTTGCCAGTATCTCCAGTTTCCGCTCCACCTCACCTCAGGGACTGGAGTATTAAGGATTCACATTACTGCATTCAGGGGGAAGTAGATTCTGGGGATCTCAACTTTGCATGACAAGTGTTGTACCCACTGAGCCATCTCCCCAGACTGATTCTGTTAAGGGGCTATCAACCAGCTAATGCTACTCAGCCTCCTAATAATTACAAAACTGCTCCACACTCCCATTACTTTCTATATACCTTTAGGCTATTTTTGTCTGAAAGTCCTCCCATTAAGAGAGGGATCTGTTCCTCCCCTGGATCCTGGACAACTTTAGTGACCAGCAAAAACAATTCCTAGGCTATGCCAGAAAGATCATGCAGGGTCGTTTTTGTGTCTTAGAACGCTCAATGTAGGAGGTCAGCTGCCATTTAAGAACCCTGCGGGTCCTCCAGCTGGTGACTAAGGTACACTCCCAGCTGACAGGCAGCATGAGCAATGAGAGCAGGCTCTACACGGGAACCCAGGGAACAAAAGCAAGCTGCCCTTGTTTACCACTGCTGAGACCTGGGAAATGCCTCAAACGGAGACCTTCCCATCTTGTTAATACCTAGTTACTGCCCTAAAACATGACAATCCCATTTATTTGTAAATGTTGGTAAACTGTAATTGTTTTGAAGATTCATGAGCATCCAAGTTTTATTAACTCCCCAAATAATGCTCACACAGCCAGCCAAGTAAAGAACCTGGCATTAGAGCTCAGGAAAGAATGCAGGGAGCCATGGCTCTGAGATTAAACGGATTCATTGGCAAATCTCATTTTCTAATCACCTGCTCTGATGGCTTGCTAACTTCACTTGTTTCCCCACCGGTTATCTTCATAAAGTGCTTAATGTTGGGCACCAAGTGAAGAGCAACTACTAAGTGACTAAGTAGCACGAAAGTTTAGTAGCTGAACCAAGGTAAGTGAAATTTCAGCGCGCAATCATCTGAGTAACAAAATAATTAGAAGCATGAGAGGAATCGTCCATGCTTTCTCATAAGCATCTTGTGTAGATAAATGCCCAAATCCTGCCATGTGTTAGTCATGGAACAACTTGTGGCCTAGTCTGGAGGGAACACTCACATCCCCACGTTCCTGTGGCATCACCAATGCAGAAGAGTTTCCTTACCCCACTCTCCGCTGAGTGTTCACCCAGCTTTCCTCAGTACCATCACTCAGTCTTTTATATGTAAGGCAGTGAATTATTTAGGGATTTACAATTTTTGTTATGTTGTGACATTTCTTCCCAATGATGAAGATCCCGAGCTATTTATGACACAGAGGCATGAGAAGCATTCAATTATTTTCTTCCTTTAACCTTTTCACAGACTTTGATCTCTCGGAATTGACTGTTATTGCCTCACACGCTTCAGTATCAACGTATACCCTCTAGAATGAAGGGACCTCTCAAAGTCCTCGCAATTCTGACTTGGTGTCAGCCAGAGCTACTAAGAGTGACTCTCACTCCTTTCTGGTGAAGTACCTCCTGAGACATGGTGTGATGCTTCTCCTGAAGGAGGTCTGTCAGCTCCTGGAGCCTCACATTCTCTTGTGCAAGGAAGGAGTTCAGCTCCTGCACCGCTTCCTCCACTATCAGGGTATCTGAGAAAGAAGGACTGCACTTTAGTTTAGCATTGATAGTCTAAGCTTTGAAACTGTTGAAACTGTCTACTGCACCAAAGCACTGACCCGCCAGCTCACCTCACTGTCCCGAGAATGACAGAAAGTAACCGAGTATTTTTTTAGCTCACAGATAGTCAATTGGTTAAGTATATGAGTCAACCTGGACCACCATTTACCCTCACCTCTTTCTGTTAAGACAAATGGCTTGAGCAAATAAATGAAAGACATATAATTTTATTCACATACAATTTCTATCACCAAGAATGGACACACACATTCGAATTTAGAATAGACACGATTTCTAAGCAGTGTCAAAATTAAAGCAATACAACTTTATTCTTTCTTTGAGGCAATCACAAATTCCTATTATAAGTTAATACCAACATAAAGCATCTATCGGGATGAGGAGACAGGAAGCAAAATTTTTATCTTCAAATAATAACATAAAATCATGAGGAACAAATAAAACACAGCAGTCACCTAGCAAAACATTATGTTAACTGTAACCCTGAAGCTCAAAATAAAAACTATACCGAATATTTACAAACGCACAAGCTACACCTTTAGAGTTTATTATGCTGAATTCATGTGTTAAAAATTAGTCACAACTATTACAGTTCAATCTAAACTCCTACAAATGAAACCAATTATTCTTGGAATAAAATGTATAATGTTGCTTAAAAAACAAATTACCCAGAGAGAATGATATTGGGGTTCAAACTCCAAGCCGAAAATCAGAAAAGCAAAGTAGCGGGCCACTAGCTCTTACCACTACCTCAGGCTGAATGGGCTGACCCTGCTGCTTCTCCTCAGTGTGGCGGGAGAATCCTGAGACTGAATGTCTTCCTACCCTCAGTGTGGCTGGAGAATGAATGCCTGATACTGAGACCCTGCTCCTGTCTTACACACCTCCCTACTGCTGGGATTGAAGGCATGTGATCCCAAGTGCTGAGATCATCTTTGTATGAGCTGTTTCTCTTTAGGACTGGATCAATCTTGTGTAGATCTGGGTGGCCTTGGACTCACAGAAAACCATCTACCTCTTAATCCTGAGTCCTAGAGTTAAAGGTGTATACCACCACCTCCTAGCTTCTGGTCACTGGGATTAAAGTTTACACCACTGCCTAATCTCTGTATCTTGAGGCTGACTTTGCTTTCTGAATCCTCAGGCAAGCTTTAATAAATCAAAAGTAATATATCACCACAATACAATTTATATCTTTAGAATTTATTACTTCAATTAATGTTAAAATTAGATTCACATCTATTACAGTTCAATCTAAATGTTGTAAACAGAACCAATTATTCTCATGACACACATTATTCTTTACAGTTGTTAAGGGGAATGTGTCCCCACACTACCTGATGCCATTGCTTGTGGAGGGCCCTAAATAAGGATAGCATAATAGAAGCCATCTTAATATTCATACTGCATTCTTAGAGGCTAGCACTTAGCTAAGTCCCTATGTCTCTGTGTCTGCTTATCTTCCTGCACAGCATACTTTCAAGGCCTGTGGTCCAGGATCTCCCACCCTTCTGCCACCTGGCCTGCACTCCAGACTCCCCCAGCTGCAGACTTGTGTCCTTGGAACACACCCTGCCAAGGAGAACTTCTGCTCCCCCGCCCTTCTGCTTCCTGCCCTACTTAAGCCCTGTTGGTACTTTCAATAAACGAGACCTGATCAGAACACTGTCTTGTCTCTGTCTCTCCCGTCTCTTGTTCCCCCATTCTCACTCCCTCCCTTAGAGTCCCCGTTGACTGACACTGCAAGCCAGGGCAATTGTTCTCATAAACCTTACAGAACAGGCCAGTCAAGTCATGGGTTCCCAGTTTCCATCTAGGACTGCCCACCAAAATCATTTGCAAAACTTTTATGGGAGACAATTCCCTGGGATCCACCCCAAGCCTACTAGTTAAGAATCTCCATGGGCATAGCAAAATAAACGCAAAGTGACTCTGAGTCAACAACCTGAATTAAGGACTAGTGCCTAAATTTTCGTTTTTTCTGTATCTTAAGTTCTGAAGACAGGCCCTAAAACTCAATAAAAAACCCCATGAGTGCTTAGTAAATTAATAAATAAGCCATACGTCTAACTCCTTTAAATCAAGGTATTTTACCTGCACTTGAGAAAGAAATCTGTCAGAAATGACTAAAGATCTTTAGTCATTTTAGTACACTCTCTATACTGTCTGAACATAATTTCTCTATTAAAACTAAGTATTCCAAATGGCAATTTTATTGTAACACATTTCTATCCATTGGTTTCATATTCTATCTATCTCTTCAAACACTGGAGTCATACTTTACTACCTCATCTAACTCTCTTGAAGAACATCAAGAATAAAAGAACACATTAAAACTCACCTTTTGAAGTCAGAACAGTCAGCACTAACTCTGTTACGTATAAAAGTTTATAGTTAGCATGTCATGCTAATTACACTGAGAATCACATGGTTTAAAACTCCAAGAAATGTAATTAAACTGAGCTCTCTTCTGTTTTGTGGTGCTTGGGATAGAAGCCAGGGCCCAACGCACACTAGCCACATTCTACCCCTCGGCTGCACCCTGAGCCTCACAGAACTGAGCTGTCCCCTCCCTGAGGCTCCCTGTCTCCAGGTTCTCTCCTCACCTCCACTGTTCAGTTTCCGGGATAAGAGTTCCACTTTTTCTTGCAGTTTATCATAGACAGTCACAATCTGGGACACAGCCCGGCGGGAGGACTCCACACGCTCCTGAAGCTGCGACTCCATTTCTTCACTGGAACTACTGGCCAAGGTAGCAAGGAAAGAGAAAGCTGGTTCTTGCCCTTCCCCTGAGAACATGGGAAGAAAAAGAAGCCCCCAAAATTATAAATCTGTAAATAGCAAATTTTCCTTCAAATGGAGAGCCTTAAAGCAAAGTTCAACTTTAAAACCTAAAGTAATAATGCAGTTACAGAATTCCTCCCAAAGACACAGGGAGAGAAAAAGAAGATCCAAATTATAAGGCTAGAAACAGCAAAAATCCCCCCCCCCCCCACTGGAGAGCCTCACAGCAAAGCTCAGACTCGGCACCCAGGCAACTAATGCAGTGACGGATTCATGGCCAACACTTGCCTCTCTCGCGGTCATCTTTGCGCTCCTGATTGCTATCAGAGTCAGGCTCTGGTTCTGGCACAACCAGGGCTTTCCTTTCTGTGAGCAGGTCTCCCAAACCCTGGTCCAGATCGTAACGTTTAAGGATGATACGGATGTTTTCATCAAACTGGAGAGGAACATGCACAGTTAACAAAGAAGGGGGTGGGAGGGCCAAGGGCTGAGCAACAAAGAGCAGAAAGGATGAAGATGCTATAGGAATCTGGGTGAGCACACAAAGCAGAAAGGATGAAGATGCTATAGGAATCTGGGTGAGCACACAAAGCAGCTACCTGGCTCCAGTACCGGTTCACAATCAACAGAGAGGCATCGTCAGTGGCCTGGCGTCGCTCCAGTTTTTCAATGTGTTCCCGAAGCTCATCTTCAATGGCCTGTCTCTGGTCCAGCATTTCTGCTAGCTTACGATTTTTGGATTGCAGTGTTCGAATGTCTAACTCCTCCTGCCCCAGGAAACCAGAATTAGTCTCCACAAAGAAATTAGACAAACGAGCTGTTAAACTCAACAAGCTCATAACAGTTCATTAACTTTTTTCTATAAACACACAAAACTTAACTAGGGCTAAAGGCACAGCTCAGCTACAAAAGGCTTGTCACACAAGCGCATGTATACTTCTAAGAAAGCCAGATACGGTGGCACACACTGCAATCCCAGCACAGGGAAGGTAGAGACAGATGCATCCCTGAGGAGAGCTGGCCAGCCTAACCTAATTGATGAGTTCCAGGCTTCCATTTATACATGCACATGCCCAGATACATGGCATACACAAAGAAGTCTTACAACTAATGATTAGGTGAGGGGGACGCAGGAGAAATAAGTGAACAGGTGTCTGATCTGTAAGGAAACGGCAGCTATGGTAGACACGCACCATCTATCTCACTGTTCCGTTAATACAAACCTCCACCACGTAATACAACGCTGAGTCTCTACCGTCCGGCAAGTCCACCGTCTAACCCAACAGTGCCATAACTCCGGCTTCTAGCTCCTCGACACCACTCTTCACTCACGCAAATCCCACACTGCCCTCCCTGTTTCATGCGCTTCATCCAATCTGTCAGGAATCCCATCTCCGCCTCCTCCTTGGTCCACTCCACAGTGATCTCTCATTTGGACAGCTCTAACGTCCTTCTGTTTGCAGCAAATATTTCTGTGCTGCTTTGTCAGGCAGCCAGGTTTAAACAGCAGGAGTGGACAGCTCCATTCATACTGCCGGAGCTCACAACTCAAGGGTACACTGGATTCTCACTTTTCCTGTCTCCAAACCTCAGCCGGCTCACAACACAAACTTCAAAAGTGCATAAAAGGAGTTATTACCTTCAAAAGAAACATGGGCACAGGGCAGTAATACAGGCAGTGCAGCTTAGAGTTAAAGCTGAGATCACCCCCTAGGCCTCTGATTTGACTGTCATTCAGCACCAGAACTCTCAAAAGCTAGAGCACCTCAGAACGTGGCACCAAATTTTCAGCAAATGAAAATGCTAACTACTATAACAAACACTGCAGTGGCCACCAGAGTCTCAGAGGAACACAGAGGGACACCTTGCAAACACAGAGCAAACATCAGCACTTCAAGAACTGAGGTCACATCATCATTGCATCTGCTGTCCTCTTCTAACGCCTCCCCTCTAACTCCCAAGGCATCCGTAACTTAGTTTCAGGTTACAACTGACAGAAGCCAAGCACCGTTTCTCATACCGTTGAAGAGACACCTCCTAGCTTAATTGTTTCCACTGTGGTTCCCGAATCTTCAACAGCTGTCTTTTTCTCTGGAGGCACAGATGTGCCTGGCTCTCCAGCAGCTCGTTTATTTCCAATCCCTGACATCTTGGCGTAAGATGGCAGTGTCTTTCCTGGGTGGAAAAAAAAAAAAAAAAAAACATGAACTGAAATAAGATAAGCAAACTCAGCCACAGTACAGAGTGCCTACATATAAAAACTAGCAGGTTATTCCACCTGTAGCAGCACCAATCCGAAATCCAGGGGGGTGGGGACCTGTGAGAAATGGGCACTGGATTGACAGGATTGTCAATTTCTACATAAGATGTTAATAAGACATAATAGTCAGCAGGGCGGTGGTGACACACGCCTTCAATCTCAGCACTCTGTGAGTTCGAGACCAGTCTGGTCTACAAGAGCTAGTTCCAGGACAGCCTCCAAAGACACAGAGAAACCCTGTCTCGAGAAACCAAAAAAAAAGGAAAAGAAAGAAAGAAAAAGAAATAACAGTCAAAGAATGAAGAAACGGAATAAACTGTAGAACTCTTCACGTCCTGAGACGCAGAGAAAAATAAAGAGGACAGTTCATTTATGACAGAAGTTACCGGTGAAGTAAGTGTTCGGAGCCTCAGCCCTCAAAGAGATGTGGGAAATGTTAGCTAAGTCGTTCGCTCATCCTAAACAAGTCAGTTATCTCTGAACCTGTTTCCTAAACCAAGGACAGCAACGAAGCTTGCCAGACTTAAAACTGTAACGGGCAGATGTCGAACAAACACTATGCACGCCAGAAACGCAGGCGCTCTTACAGTTCCTTTTTCCAACGCTCCCTTCGCTCTGGGGAGCCGGGCGGCGCACCACTCCCGTTCCTTCGCCTGTACAAAGGAGGTACTCCTGTAGTATCCCCTACCTGACTCCGGTCCCGAGGCTCAAAGGCGACAGGGGGGACGGGGAAGTCCTTTCGGGAGAAATGCGGCCATCACGAAACCCCGCCGGGCCGGCTCCCGACTCCCGGCCCACGACCAGGCACGGGCGGCACGCAGGAAGCTGGGTGGGACCTGGCCTGCAGAGAGAGGAGGCGGGAGCTGAGCAGGGAGCCCCAGCCGCCTAGGAAGCGGCCCGCGAGCGCAGCAGCCTCCGGCGTGGCCAGCTAGTCCGCCGGCCTGGAGGAGGGGGCCCGGGAGCCCGCCCGGGGGACGCCCCGCCAGCGCAGCCCCGGAGCGCCCGGCGCCAGAGCCAACCCGGGCTCCGCGGGGCGCGCGGCCCCCAGCGCTCACTCACGGCGGACCGGGAGGGGATCCCACCCCTCACTTCGGACCTGCCTGCCTGCCGGGAGAGGGAAGGAGCTTCTCCACGGAGGCGGAGGCACCGAGAGGAAGTAGGGAAACAGAAAGGGAAGTTGCTTCAGCTCCGCCCGTCTGCACGACCAGAGGGAACGGGCGGAAGTGACGCGCGAACGGCCGCCTGGCGGAAGTGACGCGTGAGCGCAGGCCGCAGAGAGGGCGGGGCGGGCACCGCCTTCTGGGTGACGTCTGGGAGGGGCGGGGCCTGGCCCCGGCTGCCGCCCGGATCCACGGCGGTGGGAGGAGCTTCCGCCCTTTGTTCGCGGGCTGCCCTGGGAGCCGTCTGTACTCCCGGGAAGCGCGATACAACGTTGTCTGTGGTTGAGGCGATCCTTGCTCGTCCAAACTGTCCAAACTGCCGATTAGCTGAAGATCCCGTCAGTCTCCGGACGGGCAGGCGCAGACACCTCAAACAACTTTGTTTTTTTTTTAAGGCGATGAAGCGTTCTGCAGAAAAAAAACAACATCAAGGGATTTGACCGATTTCTGGTCTTGTATGATTTCCTTAAGCGGAATTCTAACGGGACAGTGGTGGTGCACGCCTTGAATCCCAGCACTCAGGGGGCAGAGGCAGGCGGATTTCTGTGAGTTTGAGGCCAGCCTGGTCTACAGAGCGAGTTCCAGGACATCCTGGAACTCTGTCTTGAGAAACCAAAGGGAAAAAAAAAGTTGATTTTTTTAAAGGCATTGTAATATTAGAATGATAATCGATCTAACCTGCTGGTGAAAAACTGTCCAGCTTCCAAAATTGTGGCCAATTACCCAGTGACGTTGGTTAAAGCTCCAGAAATGGAAGAGTGATTGTTGCACCTTTGTAAAACGGTGTATGTAGGTATGTTTGGATAAAACCAACATCCACACTGAATTTCCCGTAGTGTGAAGAACGCGATGTGTTCCCGTACTTGATTGGTCTTAACTATGCATGAGAAGGTCAACCATGGACAATTCATGTTGTCTTGGACTACAGTACACACACCCTGGTCCTGAGGAAATTGTCTGTAAATGGACTTCACACTCCCATTTCGTGAAGCAGAAGGCTGGAGACTTGTTTCCTTAGCCCACCTGTTGAAAAGGCCACTAAATGCCAATCAATGGCTGATGGTGGGGCTAGTTATAAGTCACTTTCTGCACGAAATTATAGAGATCACTCCCAAAGCTGTTAGACACAAGGGACCAATGTCTGCACTGGGGTTTCAGTTCCTCCCCTCAGACGTAGCCTCCATGCACGGGTACTTACTTAGGAGGACATCAGAAACAGAAGCTCCCCTCTGCCATTCCTGGCCAGAGAATCAAAGGGCTGCTGCTTCGGGTCTCTGTCCTGGGCTGCCTGTCCAGTTTCTGTCTTCTCATCAGTTTTCTCCCAGGGATCTTGGGTGAGGACTGAAACTAGCATCTGTCACTCTTGAGAACCTAGCCAGCAAACTGGAGTTGTAATACTGAAGAGACTCTCAGGAAAATGGAAACAGGTCAGCAAACCGAGTCACCTCTGACTCTAACTTTAGAGTGCTAGAGAAAATACTGAGAGAACAAACCTTTCTAGAAATTTTAATGTCTCACCCTGTGAGTGACCTTTATTCCCAGCCGCTGCTGAAGTTACCATTTTCAAAAATTCTAGCAAGTTTTCTGCCACCTTCACACATTGTCAGGATTTTCTTCGAGATCTCACACACACACACACACACACACACACACACACACTCACACACACACACACCACACACCACACACCACACACCACACACACGATGACAGGAAAAGAGACCAGCTTGAGGAATTGGCTCCTGAGATTATGGGGAGGTTTTGGTAAATTGAAATTTTGCAGACCAGGAAATGGATGCAATTGGAGTCCAAAGACAGTCCACTGGTGGAATCCTCTCCTGCTAGAAAAGAACAAGGTATCCATCAGTCTTTTTCTTTAACATTAAGGACTTCACCTGATTGGATGATGCCTAACAAGTTAATGGAGGATAATCTTCAGACCACTAATCTGTTAGTCGCATATGATTCCACTTGTATATGTCTTGTCATTTTTCTTAATATTATAACTTAAGTAAAATAATAATATTTTCATTTATGGGGGAATTTTTGTTTGATTTTGATACAGAGCCTCACACTGTACCCTAGACTGGAGAGAAATTCACCATGTACCCTCAAACACCATGAGGCTGACCTCAAACTTGTGTGCTAACCTCCTGAATACTGGCATCATTGGCATGAATCACCATGGTCAGCTGTCTTTCTGCTGAAAGAAAGTTTCATCATTGGTGTCAAGCTGACCACAGACTACCTACCATAGGTTGGTCTTGAACTTACCGACTTTCTACCGTAGCCTCAAAAGTGCTGGCTACACAAACATGTGCCACAATTCCTAGCTTGATTCTTTTTTTAAAGGGGAAATGGGGGTGAATTTCAAATAGTTTTTGAAGTTTTTCCAACTTAGTATTTGTTGAAGAACCCAATTTGACTTCAAACCTGTCTTCAGTAATGACAGAATTCTGCCACAAGGTGGCAGAAAGACATGTTTTTGTCTGGTCCCTAGTTTACAGCTTTGGTGACAAGGTACTGTTCTTACTGTCTTATACACTGAGAAATCTGAACAACTAACGCTCTCAAGAAACAAGGTGGAAATGTTCTATGGAATTGTCCGTGCCGTTTTTTCTAGTATCTGCATATGTTTTCCTGAACTGCTCTTTTCTGTCTCCGTGCATCACAGCATTCCACAGACTCTGGATTGCCTTTGTGTCCAACATAGAATTCTGAAAGTTCCTTCTTCCGTCTTTAGGAAAGTTGCATTGTACCTAAAATGGCATTGCCTGCTAAACAGAAACAGAGGTTGCCCCAGATCCACCCTAGACTCGTCAGAATGGCCAGCAGAAAACTCTTAGGAAGTCAAAGCTGTTACTTTTTTGCCTGTTATGCTTCCTGTCTGGGCAAATGTAAGCATTGCTGATGTCGGGGTGGGGGGATAGTGGTGAATGCCTTTGATTCCCACACTGGGAGGCAGAGGTAAGTGGATCTCCATGAGTTCAAAGCCAACCTGTGAGACGGGAGGCCAATGGAATATGGAATATAATATATTTATTTACATGCAAGCTGGGGGACAGAAAGCATGGCAGGCTTCCAGAGGAAAAGAGAGAGAGAGAATACTTATTCTTTCCTTAAATAGCCCACCTGTCTAATCTTCATATCTCCACCCCTTTTGGGCAGATAGCTTTGTGGGGCTCGCCCCTACAAACCTGGTCTACAGAGCGAGTTCCAGGACAGCCCGAGCCACACACAGAGACCCTAATTTCGAAAAACCGGGAAGAAAAGGTATTTCTGGGCATAGTGATGAGCAGCTCCACCCAAGGGTGCTCTGAGAAGCCAGCCTTTCTTTCTGCCATCTTCCCTACCTTACAGCAAGCTCTGCACCCTTGCTTCCTCTTCCCCAGATCTCCAGGCCACGAATGTACACTCTGCCCAACTGATTTGTGGCAACTGTGACTGCAAAAGCCAGGCTGCCCTTCAGGGAGAGTGAAGCCGGGGGGACTTAGCAGAGTCTGTGGAAACAGGAGAGCTGCTAGGTAGTCACACATTGTACAGGAACCCCACTTCATTTTAGGGTCTCCTGATGGCTGGAAGGGTGTTTTGTGTTAACCATAGATTTGATCGTTTAGGTCCTTACACCACAGGGCATTGAATGTTTGGGTTTCTTTCCACACTACAGTGCAGGAAGAGCTCCAGCAAAATAATGAAGTGTCACATTAAATGTTATTTGGCTTTGTAGCTTCATATTTTACTTGTGGGTATGCTTTAGCTTATATGTCTAGATAGGCTGCCATGTGACCCAAGTTTATGTTGGCGTATTTTTACACTATAATGAAAATGATTTAATAGATCACCAAGCAGGATGGTGGTTAAGAGATCAACAAAGGATTTGTTTTCTTTCCTTTAAAGGGAGACCTGTACGTTTAAATTGATTTCAAAAAACTTTATTACTTAATTACATATAAGCCGTCTTGTATGTTTTCTTCCATTCCATATCTTTTAAATTATTCTAAGACCAATAAGGTAGAGTTGATGTTAAATAATCAGATATAATATTACATATGATTTAAACACGTTTTGACTCCAAACTTGTGTAGCAGGCTTTCATGGACTGCTAGCCCCAAAATCACGACACAGACTTATTACTTATGAAAGCTCAGCCTTAGTGTAGGCTTGTTCCTAACCAGCTTTTATAGCTAAATTAACCCGTGTCTACTAATGTACGTGCTGCCATGTGACTCATGGCTTCTGCCTCTTCCCTGCATGCTCTGCTTCCTCTCCTCCATCTTCTCTGGCACCTCTCCCCTACCTGGAGTCATGTCTTCTTTTCTCTCTACCCACAAATCCTGCCTCACCTCTTCCTGCCTACCTATTCGCCATTCGGCTCTTTATTAAACCAATCAGAAGGCACCTTGGCGAAGACACATCTTCATAGTGTACCAAGAGATTACTCCACAATAAACGTGTATTAAGCTTGTATAAAGAGTCCAGCATTGAAGCTCAGTGGGTAAGAACATTGCTGTGGGCTTAGCTCCCAGCAGCCACATTTGTGCCACTAGCTAAAGGATCTGACCCCCTCCTTTGGGAATGAAGCCTGCACTCAATGCACATGCATACCTGCAAGCAAAAAACTCATTCACATAAAATAAAATGTAAAAACCACACAGGTCCAGTGCCTTTAGAAAGGAGTTTCTGCTCTCTGAAGGTGTAAGGCCAGTGTCAATGAAAAGGGGTTCTTAAAACAGTGGTGTATTAAAATTGTCTTTAAATTTAAATAAAAATTAATTTTAAAAACCTGTGGTGTATGGCCAGAATCAGTTCTGTATGTTCCAAACGTGAATAAAGCTGATTGCATGACTGACTGATGGAGTTACCTACAGGGTTATGAAATTGGTGAGACATCATTCCAACCCTTGCTGAGTCCTCTCGGGTAGACTGCTGTCCCTGTACCACCGGCATACCTGTGGCACTACACAGCCAACTTCCCTCCCTGTTGTGAAGCCAAAGAGCTCATATCACACACTGATGTGTCACATATTCGCGTGATACATTGTGAATTCAAGCTGTGTCTTATTCCTTGCTGGCAGCTCAACACTTGAAGCTCCATCTTTATTACGGGATGGCATAACTAAAGCATCTCTAAGACAATAAACCTGAGTTCTCATTTGCAGCAGAGGGAGTTCAGGGTTTCCCAGCATATGTTTCTTATTCTTTCCAAATATGGTTCCTAGGGGTAACATTCACTAGAGCTAAGAGCAGAAATTAGGATTCATGTCCTAGCTTAACAGTTAGATTTATTTGCAAGTTGTAATTAAGCACAGTTGTAAAAGTAACCAGGTGCCCAGGAAATAGAGGTTTTAAAAGCAAAGAAGTAAGGATAATTATACTTGAATGTTTCACATCGTAGAAATATTTTAACAGTGCCTTGACCTTTCAAATGATCAGTTGACCTTGAAGCCTACTTTCCTTTGAGGCCATCCAAATTCTCTTTTTCTGTTTGTCTATTATTATAGTGTCTCCAGATTGATGTAAGTCATTTGGGCTGGAGAGATGGCTCAGCAATTAAGAGCATATGTTGCTCTTCCAGAGGACCAGAGTTCAATTCCTAGCACCCATGTTGGGTGACTCGCAACTTTCTATAACTCCAAGGAATCCAACTCCTCTGGCCCCCAGACACCTGCACACATGTGTACATACAGAGACACATAATTCAAAATCACGAAGAAAATGTCTTCACTTTGAAATAATTCATTTTGGGTTGATGCATTTGTATGCACTTTGTGTTATGGCTCATGTATACATTAGATAGTGATCAGCTCAGGCTAATTTCTGTGTTCATCTGCCTAAACGTTTGTCATTTCTTGGTGGTGTGTACCTTTCTACTTCCTGTCCCCTAACCTTGGTATTAATTAATAGCAAAGAGATCATGAATGGTTTCAAGCTGCCAGGTGCTAAAATATCCGAAGAGGATGGAACAGCTTTGTTTATTTTTTTCTTTTTATGAAGTGTCTAACTTTTAAATGAGTGCCAGTTTCTCAGTTTGTACTCAGAGCTTAGAATATATGAGACCCAATGGTCTAACTAGTTACCCATTCCAGAGAAAACAGAATCATGGTATGCTTTTTTTTTTGTTTTAAAAGAGTTTTTTATCATTTTTATTTTAATTTTAAATAGCTTGTTTTACATGTCAATCCCAGTTCCCTCTCCCTCCCCTCCTCCTGCACTCCCCTTCCCCCCCCTCCCACCCTATTGCCAAATCCTTCCCCATAGGGGATATCTAGAGTCTGTCATTTTACTCTTGGTAGGGTCCAGGCACTCCCCTAAGAGTCCAGGCTGAGAGAGCATCTCTCTTTGTGCTATAGGCACACGAAGACAGTTTGTATACCAGGGATAGACACTGATCCACAGCTCAGGGCCCCATAGGTTGCCCAGGCCTTCTCACTGACACTCACATTTGGGGGGTCCAGATCAGTCCCATGCTGGCCTACCCACTGTCGGTCTGGGGTCCAAGAGCTCTCCCCTGTTCAGTTCAGCTGTCTCTGCTGGTTTTGCCAGCCCATTCTTTGCCAATTTGCTCATCACTCCTCTCTCTCTGTCACTGGGTTCCTTGGGTTCAGTTCAGTGATTAATTGTGTGTTTGCCTCTGCTTCCATCAGTCACAGGATGAAGGCTCCCGGATGGTTATAGACATCAAGTTCATTATCAGGGATGGGCATTCGAGGTGGTCCCTCCACTATTGCTTAGCTTGCCAATTGGTGTTATCCCTTTAGATCACTCGAGGTCACTCTGGTGCCTGATCTGTCTTCGAACCTATGATTCCCTCTTCCCCCTATTCTACCCCCACGCCCTCAACCCCCTGTTCCCCCATGACCAGGATAGTGCCAGTCTGCACTTCCACAGATAGAGAGTCTGGGAAACAGGAAACAACCTAAAAGATATGCATATATGCATAGTACCCAAGAGAAGAGGATGGAGACAAGATCCTCTGAATGGATGGGGAACACGGCGAGGGGTGGGGGGGAGTGGGACCTGGGAAGAAGAGAGGGGGTGAAGAGGAAGGGAGTTGGTCATGGTATGCTTTTTAAAATATGACTATACAAAAATATTTTACCATAGCGTGTGGCTTTACATTTGTTTATGCATAGAACAAATTTTAAATTTACTTTTAAAATAACCTTCAAGAAATTATGGCAAGTCCACAATGAATGCTTATGTAGTAACTGACACTGTTAAGAAACTGCGTTTCTTGCCACTGACCTGTTCTTACAGTATATTGCTGAAGGGTTAAGGAGGTTGCAGGAATGTAGGTGTCCTATTCATTTTACACAAAAGTAACTTAAAGACATTAAAGTCAACATATTGTTAATTTAGGACTTACACAAATTATCTCCACTTACAATCTCCATTTCATATCTCTTTCACTCTATCTTGTAAACTGTTTGTGTTATTTATCCTTTTATAAGTAAATTCGACAGGCTACACTCAGTGATACACACCTGTATCCCTGGAACTTCAGAGGCAACAAGGGAATTACTTGAGTGCAAAGGTTCAAAATCAGCCTGGGAGACCTAGTCTGACAATATATAAAAGCAGTACTATTGCCGCTGCTAAAAGCCATCCCCTTAGAAAAGCAAAGCTGGTCAAGCACCAGGGAAGCTTGGTGAAGCCACAAGTGAGGGATGAGACGCATACAGCTCATGGCAGCACTGGAGCTGGACCCCACAACCGCCAGATGGAGGCTGGCAGCTCTACGGCACCCTGTACTAACCATCGTCTCCCCATCCCCCATCACCTCTTACCACTCAGCAGCCACCACTCGGAATCATGAGTTCATCATTCCTTACTTGTGGGATTGTCTTAGACTTGGGTGTGTACCTCACTGTCTTCCCCTGCTTTCCTTCTCCCTTTTCCAACATTAGGTTCTTATCTCTAAACACCAAATTGTATGTCACATTATTCAAAAGCATTATTTTCTATTTTTATTTCTTTTTTAAGATTTATTTATTCATCACATATACAGTATTCTGCCTACAGACCAGAAAAGGACACCAGATTGAATTGTAGATGGTTGTGAGCCACCATGTGGTTGCTGGGAATTGAACTCAGGACCACTGGACGAGCAATCAGTGCTCTTAACCTCTGAGTCATCTCTCCAGGCCACTATTTTTATTTCTATATTTTGTATTTTAGTCTTGTTATTTCTTTCAGACAAGAACAAAGAATTTTTGATCACCTCTATTTCACAAACTTTTACTTTTTAAGATTTTATTTTGTGTGTATGGGTGTCTTCTGGAAAGCAAACTTCCCCCTTCACAAGCTTCTTACAACACATCTTTTTTTTTTTTGTTCCTTCCTTTCTTATTTAAGTAATTCTGCCAGTGTTCTGTTTTGCTCATGGAACAATTGGGGTCATTCTAGGATGAATTTTAGGCTTAGCAACGGGAAGGAAATGAGCTTCTGTGAACTGGCTGCCTGTTGCTTAGCAAAAAGTTCTTTGTTGTTACACACCTTACACCCTTAGCGAGCAACTTCTGCATATCAAAACGTCCTATCTGGAATTGTTGAAGGAACCATTTGCTGAGGCAATTCCCAGCCACGAGACCAATTGGTTTATCAGGTTCTCTCATAACTAAGTTTTGCAAAGGCTCCAAGTCCTTCAGGAAGAACTCAGATAAACAAGAACTAGACACTTCAAACAAAAGGTAATGACCACCAAAGGTAGTTCAAAGCCTATGTGCTAACACTCTGGAATTCAAGCCAGATGCAATGTCTCCTTGAGATCTCTTGCTACACAATTCTCCTTAAATCTGCCTTCACTGCAGGGTTTGGAGTAGGAAGTTTATAAAATCTTATGTACAGGCAGGCTGTGTTTTGCACAGTTTTGACACGCCAGTTTCAGTTACCACAGCTTTGTTAAATAAATAAGCACCTGACCCCAACGACTGTGGGTCAGCTTCAGTTACCCAATGTGGTGTCTGTGACTACACAAAATGCAAGCTTTGTGGCTCTTCCATAGTCCATGCAGATAACATAGTAATTGCCGTTAAAATTTCAACACAATTCTTTACAGACCTTAAAAAAGCAATATTCAACTTCATGTGGAAAACAAAAAACCCGTAAGAGTTAAAACAATCCTGAACAATAAAAGAATTGCTGGGGGTATCACCATCCTGATTTCAAGCTGAACTACAGAGTTGTAAATAATAAAAACTGCATGGTATTGGCATAAAAACCCAAGAAACTAGATATCAACAAACCATATAATCCAATCAAAATATAGGGTTCAGATCTAAACAGAGAGGTCTCAATACAGGAGTCTCAAATGACTGAGAGACACTTAAAGAAATATTCAACATCCTTAGTCCTCAGGAAAATGCAAATTAAAACTACTTTTAGATTCCAATTTACACCTGTCTAACATAAAAAACACAAGCGTCAGCTCTTGCTATTGAGGATGTAGAGCAAGGGGAGCACGCTTCCATTGCTGGTTGGAGTGCAAGCTTATACAGCTACTATGTGCTGCTGTACAGACCAGCTTCCAGCAGCTCGGTAAATGAAGGGAAGGGGTAGAGTCAGTGGACTAACCACTTAAGCTGATATTTTATCTGAGGGAGTAAAACTTAATTCTCTGAGCCTGGTGAAGAGGGAAACACACTCATAAACACGTATGCACACACCCCTTCAACATGTCCAGGTCTCTCTGTCTTCTTTATTTCTTCCCTTAGCTCTTTCCTGATGTATCCCTTTTGTCTCTTTCTCTCTCAATGTCTTCCTTCTAACCTCTTTTATTTTTTTCCTTTACAGATTATATATCCCACCAAAATCTTTCAAGAAATATAAAAATTACAACATGGTTACATTCTATTTTTTAAGTGGATGTTTATAATGAATACAGGTAAAAACCAGCATGTTTCTGATTTCCCTTACATGATTAAACATTTGAGGTATTACAGGTGAAGAAGAATTTATTCCTGAGGACCCACATTTCCTTTATGCGATTAAACATTTTACGTATTATGGGTGAAAAACAAATTATCTCCAACGACCCTCACACACATTCATGTCTAAGTAACATGTTACAGATTAACAAAGTGTAAGCAAGCAAGATCTTTCTCTCCGCCAGTTCTTTTGCTTGCAGGTGGCATTTTGTGGTCACAAACAAAGGATTAATTATTTTATTATTTTTTTTCAAAAGTAATATTATAAAAAAATTTAGAAGACTCACAAATCTAAACTTTTATATATGAAAAGCAATCAGTCTTTTCCACTTTAAATTCTCAGGGTGCATACACACTCATCCACAGTTTTTTGATAAGTCATATCAGGAAGCTGAGGGCAAAAAAAGGATACAAGGAATTACTCACTGCCTTTGATCACAAACCTATCCCAGCAAGAAAGGCATGCCAGCCAGAATAACCAGGCTTCCATTGTACTTGTTTCCTGACCTCAACAAGTCTCTCCCTCAACTATCAAAAGTGTGCCTTTATATACTTTAATTTTCCCCCCAAGATTTTCTACCTCAAATCCATTAATAAAAACATTTAACCTATCTTCCTAACAATCTTTATATCTGAATCCTTTCTAAGGGTGGTGGTTGAGTCACTAATCTGCTCCAGCAACCATGCTTGGGAAAAATCAATCCCTATTATTGTAAGTACCAGAGACACTGCCCAGTGAGAGGCTAGAAACCCCCTTAGAGTTTTCATACAACTCATAGATTATGAGGTGATGTGGTAACCATGAGGGCAATAAATAGAACGATTCTCCATAACAAACATCGTGAGGTCCTAAAGGCATGTAGTCCTTGAGGCTCTGATAAAATGTCAGCTTAAGTGGTTGCTACTCACCAAGTCGTATTCCATGAGTTCTGTTGCTGCTTGCTGTTCCTCTCTCATGTCCCCTGCAACTGTGGATGTCAATATAGTGGTTCCTCAGAAACTGGAAAACGATCTATGTCAAGGCTCAGCTGTAACACTCTTTGGCATATACTCAAAGGACACTCATATACCACAAAGACAAGATAATTGCTCAACTATGTTCTTAGTGGCTTTATTTATAATATCCCCAAACTGGAAACAACCTAGGTGTCCCTCAACTGAAGCACGGATGAAGAAAATGTGGTACATTTACACAATAGAATATTACTCAGCTGTGAAAAAACTGACATCATGAAATTTGCAGGCAAATAGATAGGACTAAAACAAAACAAAACAAGAATCATCCTGAGTGAGGTAACTTAGATCCAGAAGGGCAAACATGTTATTTACTCACTTATAAGTATATATTAGCTTTTAAATAAATGATAATCATGCTACAATCCACAGACAGACCTATAAAGGCTAAGTAACAAGGAATGCTCAAATGAGAACACGTGGATTTCTCTGGGAAGGGGAAATATAATAGATTTTTTTTTAAGTAGACTGGTGATGGGTGGGAATGGGAACAGGAGGGATCAGGTGGATGGGGGAGGAAGGAAAGAGTATTGGGAGAGATGACTGGAATTTGAAGGCATTTGGAGGATGATGTGGAAACCTAGTGCAGTAGCAACTCCCAGGATTCTATGAGTGTGACCCTAGCAAGGACTCCCAGTAATGGAAGAGAAGGAGCCTGAACTGGCTGTCTTCTCTATCCAGTGATGGGGCTGAGATACAACCAGCCATGAAACATATGACCTACCAGCCTACCCTGCTTGTGAGGTGTGCCGGGACAATGGGGGCACAGAACGTGTAGGAGCGGCCTACCAATGGCTGCTCTAAATTGAGGCTCATGCCACAAGAGGGAGTGTTATGGGATCATCTTTTTGTACACTGCGAAGATGTGTTTTCACCAAGGTGCCTTCTGATTGGTTTAATAAAGAGCTGAATGGCCAATGACTAGGCAGAAGATGATAGGTGGGACTTCCAGGCAAAGAGAGGAACTCAGGATGAATCTAGGCACAGGAGAGGTACCATCAAGGTACAGACCAAGACAGACATACAGAATTGTGGAGAGATAAAAAAAAACCACACGGCAGAACATAGATTAATAAAAGCCGGTTAATTTAAGTTATAAGAGTTAGCTGGGGACAAGCCTAAGCTAAAGGTCACGCTTTCATAATTAATAATAAGTCCTGTGTCATTATTTGTGGGCTGGTGGTCCCGATGAGAAAGTACTACTACAAGAGAGTCCATGCCGGACACTGCCTGGATGACCAGGAAACAGGGGTGTGGCAAGCCAGAGACCTAGGATTTAAAAAAAAATCAATAGAATTATTCCTAATGATATTCTGCTATATTCATTGATTGGTGTCTAGTTCAATGACCATTAGAAAGGCTTTCTGTGGCAGCAGATGGGAACAGATTGCAGATACCAAACACTAGGTAGAGAGAGAGCCCAAATGGGAGAGCTCCATTGAATCCCTTTTTTGGAGCTTGTAGAATCCAACAGAAAAGAGATAGGAGAGATTGTAGTACACCAGAAGAACATGGCCTGCAGAATCAACTAAGCATGGCTCATAGGGGCTCACAGAGACTGAAGCAGCAGTCATAGAGCCTGTATTTGTCTGCTCTAGGTCCTCTGCATATATGTTATGGTTGTTAGTTTGGTGTTTTTGTGGGATGCTGAACAGTGGAAGTGGGAGTAAAAATGTCTGACTCTTTTGCCTGCTCTTGGGACCCTTTTCCTCCTACTGAGTTGCCTTGTCCAGTCCTGAGAGGAGGATTTGTGCCAAGTCTTTTTGCACTACTACTACTACTACTACTACTATTACTACTACTACCAATAATAATACTTTAATTCTCAACATTTCTAAGATTTAAATGATAATGGTCTAGGTCTATGGACTCATGTTTTTAAATGCTTAGCCCATAGGGAGCAGCACTATTAAGAGGTATGGTTTTGTTGGAGAAAGCCAGTTACTATGGGGTCAGGCTTTGAGGTCTTTTGTAGACGGAAATTTCTGTCCCACATGGTCCTGTAGCAGTTTAGTCCCAAATAAGCACACAGAAGCTAATATTAATTATAAACTGTTTGGCTGATGGCTCAGGCTTCTTATTGGCTAGCCCTCTCTTAATTATTAATCCATATTTATTAACCTGTGTATTGCCACAAGGCCTTGGCTTACCAGTCATGCCCGGGTCTGTTGCTTCCTCAGCAGCTACAGGGCATCTTCCAGGCAAATCACTCTCTCCTTTCTCTTCCCAGCATTCTCCTAGTCTGGAAGCCCTGCCTATACTTTCTGCCTGGCTACATTCTGATTGGCCATTGACTGAAACAGCCAATAAGAGAAACATACATTCACAGCACACAGAAGGACATCCACCACCAGTCTTATATGCTCAAGGTACACCCAGTGTGACTCACAGTCCCCTCTGCTGCCTGTGGATCACGATGTAGAACTCTCAGCTCCTTCTCCAGCACCATGTCTGCCTGCACGCTGCCATGCTTCCTGTCATGATGACAATGGACTAAACCTTTGAACTATAAGCCAGCCCCAATTAGATGTTTTCCTTTATATGAGTTGCTGTGGTCATGATGTCTTTTCATAGCAATAAAAACCCTAAATAAGACAGAAGGGGGTAACAGGAATGGGGTATTTCTGTGACAGGCCTGAACATGCTTTATTTTGAGGAATGTAAATTTTGGTACTTCGGTTTAGGAAAACAGTGGAATACTTCAAGCCAGGTTTAATGGGCCATAATCTTAGGGACATGGAAGACAGTGCTGTTAAGGGTGATTTGAACTGTGTATGCCTGGATCAAGAGATTTCAGAGGAGAAGAATGTCATTATGTGACCTAGAGACTGTTCTTGTGATATGTGCAATGAAAAAAATACAATACATATACACATAGTCACCCTGCTGTGCAATAGATCTCAAGGTTTATTCGTATCTAACTAAAAGCTAGCACCATTTTATGGACAAGTAGCCAGTTTATTCACCCCACTTCTAGCCTCTGGTAACCATTCTTGCTACTTTTTCACTACTACTACTACTACCACCACTACTACTACTACTAATACTAATACTACTACTACTAATAATAATAATATTAATAATTTGGCTAAGAATGTGACTGCTTTTTGCCCTTGTATGAAAAGTCTGCCTGAGGCTAAACTGAAGAGTTTTGGATTAATTGCACTGGTAAAGGAAATCACAAAACAGCCTGGTGTAGGCTCTGTGGTGTGGTACTGATGCTCACTCTTATGAAGGTTTATAAGGAAAAGAAGCAAATTTGTAAAATTACAAAATGTACAGATTAAGGTGAAATGTGTACCAGGAAGTGAAATGGAGCTAGGCCCTATATTCAATGAGATAAAGAGATAAAAGAAGAGCTGGATATTAAATGGGCTAAAAGGGGGTGGTGAACGCAGGGCAAGACCCCACCCAGCTAAGCTTCCAACTTGTGAAAAGGAATTGGAGAAAAACGTACAGCCAAGTGTGGTGTTGCACACCTTTAATCCCAGCACTCAGAAGGAAGAGGCCGGTGGATCTCTAAGTTCAGGGTCAGACTGGTCTACGGAGCAAGTTCCAGGACAGCCAGGTTTAGGTGGTGAAGGGAACCACGGGAAGCAGAGAGCTGATGAAGATGTAACTGAAAGAGGGGACCGTGTTCCAGTCTCAGGAAGCAGCAGAACTTGGCAGCTTCAGTCACGTAGCTTTATAGTCAAGGACAGAAGAAAGGGACTCTGAAATCTCCCTCTGCAACTAAGGAAAGCTGCTAAGGCCAAGCATGTCATGGATGTCCCCGTATGGAGGCTTAGAGACGCTATTGTGGGAAACTGTGAAGGTGAAGCCTTGATGGCCTTGGAGACCCCAAGATGTTGGAGATGCCAGAGTTGTGGAACACCTGCTGAGGAGAGCTGCTAACAGGGAGTGAAACCAGGCCAAGAGAAAGCAGTGGGTTGTAGTCAACAGAGCTGAAAGAAGTCGGAGATCTGAAGAGTGTTGTGACATTAGACATGGAGATGCAGAGTTTGGAGTTTGCCCGGCTGGTTTTTGGTCTTGCTCCAGTATTTCCTCACTGTCCTCCCTTTCTTCCTTTTGGAATATTATTGTATATCCTGTGCCACTGTGTTGGAAGTGTGTGATCTGTTTTCAGATTTTTGATTTATTTAAGTTAGAAACAAGCTTGTTTCACATGTCAATCCCAGCTCCCTCCCTCTCCCTCCCCTCCCCACCACCAGCTCCCCCCCCCCAGTCCCTTACTCAATCTCTACTCCAATCCCCAGGCAGGGTGAGGCTCTCCATGGTGGATCTCCAGTGACTGTCATTTCATCCAGGGCAAGGCCTAGGCCCTCCCACAAGAGTCCAGGCTGAGAGAGCATCCCTCACTGTGGGATGGGCACTCAAAGTCTATTTGTACGCCAGGGATAAATACTACCCAAGGCCCCATAGATTACGTAGGCCTCCTCACTGACACCCACATTCAGGGGATTTGGGTCAGTCCAATGCTTTCCACACAGCCATCAGTCTGGGGTCCAAGAGCTCCCCCTTGTTCAGGTCAGCTGTTTCTGTGGGTTAAACCAGCCCAGTCTTAACTCCTTTGCTCATAATTTCTCCCTTTCTGTCACTGGATTCCAGGATATAATCCCACTGCCAGTGAATCTGGGAAACAGAACCTTCATCCAGAGACTGACGAAAGCAAGAGGCAGACACCCACAGCCAAACACTGAACTGAATTCCTGGAATCCAGATTTTTGATTTTATAGGGGATTACAGTTAAGAGATTATACGAGCCTCAGAAGAGACTTTGAACTTTGGACTTTTAAACATTGTTAAGACTGTGATAGACTATAGGGATTTTTGAAATTGAACTAAATGCATTTTGTATTATTTATGGCTACAAGCCTATGGGGGACAGGTGGTTTGAATAGGTATAGCTTCCATATTCTCATGTGTTTGAACACTTGACCCACAGGGAGTGGCATTATTAGGAGGTGTGGCCATGTTGGAGGAACTATGTCACTCTAGGGGCAGACTTTGAAGTCTCTTATGCTCTAGCTACGCCCAGTGTGGCTCACAGTTTCCTCTGTAGCCTGTGGATCAAGATGTAGAACTCTTAACTCCTTCTCCAGCACCATGTCTGCCTGCATGCCATCCACCCATGAGGATAACGGACTAAACCTCTGAACTGTAAGCCAGCCCCAGCTAAATGTTTTCCTTTACAAGAGTTGTTGTGTTCATGGTATCTCTTCACAGCAATAAGACCCTAACTAAGAAAATAAACATTAATTTTATGATTGTTTTCAATTTCCCCACATAATAGTTACAAAGGGAAAAAAGGTTTTCGTGTCAACACAAAAACAGAAAGCTTACCTAAAGAGAAGAGAAAGTTGGTCACAGAGATAAACCGCGATCTGGCCTAGGAACTTAGGCTCAAATTGCCCCAAATACTGTATTTAAATATAGTAATGGTTTCATAGAACATAGTTACAGTATATAAGAAAGTTATACATTGTCTTATTTACTTTTCCTGTTGTGATGGTGGAGTACCCCCAACAGAAACCAAACTAAAGAAGAAACAGCTTGTTTTGGCTCACAGATCAAGGACTATGGTGGGGAAGTTCGGGAGCAGAAAACTGAGGCAGCCTACCATCGGCAGTCAAGGAACAGACTGGTGAGCGCTGTGCCCAGCTTGCTTTTCCTATTTATATTTTCCAGTATCCCTGTACATGGTGGGCAAAGCTTTCTTCCTCTGTTAGCCCAATTAAGAGGGCCCAGAGTCCAGAATCTCTAGAGTCTGTGAAGCTGACAAAACCAACCAGCACATAAATCCAGGCACTTTTCAAATACATTTGTGGAAACACTGGGTAAGAAGATTACAAAAGAAGGAAGTGGTTCTCTGCTATGTAAGCATCAAAAGACATTATCAGCTTTAGACCAGTGGAAGCTAGAGGTCTGCTAATGTATCTCAAAGGAGGTGTGTGACAGTCACCATTAGGGCGATGACTGGCTGTTGAAATAACTAAAGCTAGTCCAGAATAATTTTGCTCTCCATATCCAACACTTCAATTTTCCACAAAAATTCAGATTAGTCAATTGACCTCATACAATCATTAACATAGGTGTGACTTTCTCCCTAAGAACTTCAGTACACATTAATTTTGAAAAAAATTCTAGAAGACGTAGAACGATGGTATTCTGATCAACTACTAGAGGTGGCTTTGCCTGATTTAAACAAAGCCTTTCAGAAGCCCATGTTATCATAGAAAGCAATAAATGCTATATTTAAGAAAAATTCCCAAACATGAGTAAGAATTTCATGGATTATTAAATACTGTATTCTAAATTTTCTTCCTTTAACTACTTGGAAACCTTCCCCTATTTTCCTATTGAACCCATTTGCTGTTGAAAATTCTGATGACCATCTGATACCTGTTTCCTGGTATTTAATCTGTTGGTTTTTCAAAACTATCGTTCTGTGTTCTTAAATTTCACTAAAACTTGGGGTGGTTCATTTCTGGAATCACCTAGGAAAGATGTCTTAAAGAAGGGTTGTGTAAACTAGGTTGTCCTGTGGGCATGCCTACAACAGGCTTTCTTAATTGGGTAATGAAGGTGGAAAGATCCACCCTGAGTGTGAGTGGCACTATTTCCTGGGCTGGGCCCTGAACTGTATGTAAAAGAGAGCAGAGCAAACATTCTGCATTGTATCCTGAGAGTGCATGAGTCAGAGCAGCAAGTCCCTCCAGCATGGCCACACACCTGGTTTGTTCCAAAGCCGTGCAGACAGCCAAGGGTTCTCCCAGTTCTTTTTGTGCTTTGTCTCCCCACAGTGACTCCTGGTTACTCTTCACCCCGAGTGAATGGCTTTATCCCGTGTGCATATGCCAATAAAAACAGCCTAGGTCACCACTCAACTGGGGCTCCTCTGTTTCTTGTTTCTCCCATGACTGCTCTCCCTCTGTGAAAGAAACACCCATTGCTACTTTACCATCGTGGCCAAAGACTGAGCAGAAATCGCAGCCCACCCGTCTCCACACTGCCCTTTCTCAGTTGCTTTCCAGCCTCCAAAACTCTGCTGCTCTTACATCTGCATTGGCTACTTGTCACTTTATTGATGCTGCTCCATTCACTTTTCAATCCCTCCAGTCATCATCCAACACCCCCTGAGAAATAACTGTAGTGCATCACAACAAACTTCACATTTGCAGGTGGCACAAATAATCCAGAAACGGGAGATTATTCTGGGTAACCCTGGTAGACCCTAATGTAATCATAAGAGTATTTGTAGAGAAAAACAAAAAGATCTAAGGAATGAGAAGGCCAAATAAGGATACAAGAAGGGAAGGAAAAGATAATGAATGTAGAACTCTGGCCAATGAATACGGGCAACCTATAGAACCTGGGAATGCAAGGAAACAGGCTCTGCCCACACCTTGATTTTAGTCTGTCAAGCTCATTTTGGAATTTTGAGGCCAATAACTATGAGGGGAGAAAAAATCGTGTGTTATTTTTAATTTGGCTAATTTTTAAAATCTTATGAGGAGACTAATATAATGCTCAACAAAGATTGGAAAATGAATATACACGAAAGAGCTTATTTGCAAATCTCTTTGGCTTTGATGGGGTTGTGTTCCAATATATCCATCACAGAGTGACTCTAAAGGAAGTTGAAATATATTAACTACTTCAGCAGACTTAACAATGTAACTAACTTGGTCTAGCTTACTTTGCATGTGCTCATAACACATTATTTTATGAGTAGAAAAGTCACCTAACACGAACTATAGAAATGATCCCTGAAAGTATAGTCTTAAAAGTCACCTAACACAAAGCATCTTTTGTAAGTAGTCTGTGTCTTCTGTTCACATACAGATGGGGATTTTGTAATGAGATGCAAAAATACAGAACAGTATCCAAACAATGCTGGCATTAGCACTTTAGTGTATTGTTAGTTGTTTTCCTTGTTATTGTTGGGCTGACCTGGGGCTGCAGCTCACATCATGCTGAATCTCTAGAGTCTTACCTCAGATCACTAGCCAGGGAAAATGTCAAATAAAATATGTAGCATATCTGTTTGACATTGTCACACCATCATAAGGTAGACAAATCTTAAGTTAAACCATGACAAGTGAGGGAGTTCTGAGTGTGTCTGTACAAATAGGAGACCTCGGAGAGCCACCCCTGCCCCTTGCAGAAACTTAATCCTGAGAGAAGTGGCCCATAGTTCTTTGGAGGAAATCCCAGAAGACATTATATTGATAATGAAGGATGTATCATGAATAATAAAAACCCAGAGACATATATTGGGGTTCAAGCTGAAGATCAGGGAAGCAAAGCGGCCAGCCACTAGAGAGTTCTCACCTCTACCAATGCTCAGGCCCATCCTCACCTGCTCCCGAATGCATTGCTCCTCAGACTGCACTACTCTCCACAAACCTCAGACTGCACTACTCTCCACAAACCTCAGATGCATTAAAACCCCACCAAACCTCAGACTGCACTACTCTCCACCCAACCTCAGATGCATTGAGTTCTGTCTCTTTCCTACTTAGATTCCTTTCTAGTGCTGGGACTAAAGGCATGGGATTCCAAGTGTAGGATCACTTTTTCATGAGCTATGTTTCTTTTTTAGTCAGGATTAATTTTGTGTAGCTCAGGGTGGCCTTGAATTAACAGAGCCTTGTGTGCCTCTGTCTCACAAGTGCTGGGATTAAAAGTATATACCACCATTACCTGTCCTCTGTGGCTAACTAGTGTGGCTAGCTTTGCACTCTGATCTTCAGGCAAGCTTTATTAGATCATGAACATATCACCACAGAAGGACATAACAGAGATCATGCGTTAGTTAGGGTTGTCTCATTGTTTCCAAATTCTGTCAGGCTGACAAGATAAACCAACACATCTCCAACCAGCACTTTAAACCCAGCCTCAGATGATTTGATAAGACAGGTTTTGTTTCCTTTCATTTCCTTCCGTTTTTTTTCTCTGTGCCTTCATCCCAAACTCATCTGCATTATATCTGTATTAGTTACTTTTCTTTGCATTATAACAAAATCTTGATAAGGGAAATAAGAGCTAGACATAGTGGGGCACTCCTGTAATCCCAGTAGTTGGGAAGCAGAGGTAGGAGACCCAGGAGTTCAAGTTCAAAGCCAGCCTTAGTCAACTGAGACCTCATCCCATATGGATGGAAGGTGCTTCCTATGAAACCGATGGCCAGCAGCCTCCTCACAGAAAGCATATTTATACTATTTTGTGGGTTTTGTTTGTTTGTTTTATTTTTCCTTCCAGGACCTAAGCTCATAGACTAGTGCCACCTGCTTTTAGGGGTGGGAAGCCACGCCTCAGTTAAACCTCTTTGGAAATACTCTTATAGACAGCCCAGACCTTTGTCTCCTGTTGTTTCCAAATTCTGTCCAGTTGACTAGATAGACCAACACACTTTTGATCCGCACTTTAAACCCAACTTCAGATAATAGCATGAGACATTCTATTTCCTTTAATTTCCTCCCCTGTCTTCACTCTGCCTTCCCCCCAAACTCCTCTGCTCTCCGCTAGTTACAAATATCTCAACACATAACAAAATAGAGAGGCAGCGGGACCTTGTTCACATAGGAATTGATTAGGTCATGAAACCCTAACTCTCCAGCAGGTATTAACATCTTTTAGCTTTGAGACCAGATGGGTTATTTTGGAAGCTAATTGGCCAATGGCTATAAATTCAGCCAACCTTCCTTCTTTCTCTCTTTCAACCATGTTCTTTTCACATTCTCTGTATTCTAGCATTTTCAGAGAATCATGAAGGCCATCAGAAGCTAAGCAACTTCTAACACCATATTCTTGGAACTTAATTATGAACTAAATAAACCTCTTTAAAAAAGCAATTACCCAGGCACGTGTACTTTCTTATTATACTACAAAATAGACACATTCACTGCTAATAATTATTAAATTAGGAAATTTGCATTTTGTTTTGGCTGACCATGTTTAGAATTTTTCAAAAATTGTAAATTATTTGCAAAATAAGTTAGTAGAAATTTAAAATACAATAGTTCCATCACTTATGACACATATGTAGAATTACTATAAAGTAGTTGCCAAGATCTGAACAAGTACATGAGTAGGTTCTAATTACTGCAGCAAAGAGCCTGGTCACAACCAGGGTAATGGGCACAAATGTATGAGTCCCGGGAAATCAAAGTGACAGTGAAAATAAATAGCACTGTGACTCTGACACCTTGTGAATTGTTCTAGTCCTTTTCCTAAATCCTCAGTTAATTAATATGTGAGCGTGCACTTGTGTGTGTGTGTGTGTGTGTGTGTGTGTGTGTGTATCTTTGTGTACAAGTGCAAGCACATGCCAAAATGTGGGTGTCAAGAGCAGAAGACAACTTTGGGAAGTGAGTTCCCTCCTGCCACCACGTCGCTTAGCAAGAAGTGCCCTAGCCAGTTGACGGCCTCTTTCTCTAAAACATGGACTTAGCTTCTTGGAAGGGGCAAAATAGATTCCTTTCATTGGGTGACTTTCCAGTCTTAGAGAGATAACTTTTAGGCATAAGGCAAAATTGATCAAAGTAAGCATGGAATAGTAACGCTTGCATTTAATTCATAAAAATCTCTCCGTCAAATGTCTTAGGAATTCTGGTGGTTAACCCTATGTAAGTTGGAGGACATGGGACGATGTGACAGCATGGAAACTTCACTGAGCACTTAGGAGACTCAGAGGCATTCTTTCGTTGACTTTGCAAAATAGGGTGTTAATTACTTGGGTCTTCTCTCTCTTTCTCCTCTCCCTCCTTTTCCCTCTCTCCCTTTTCTTTCTTTTTGAGATTTGTGACATGGAAGTATTTTTTATTAATTAGAATAGAAATACTTTTAATTAAGACAGATTTAGCTTTGCCATTGAAATCACAAAGGCACAAAGTGCCCATCGCAAATATATGAATTCACGAAGTGTGTGTGGATGGTGGAACCTTAGCCATTTATTCTGATGAATTTCATACAACTCTAACATTAAAAAGTTAAAATCTATCAAAAGCTGTCCGATAAACACCTACACGGTGCCATTTGCAGTAGCAAGAGTGACGAACAAAAGCAGACGTGCAGTATGAGACTGCAAAGTTATGTGTGGCAGACACCTCAGTAGTGTGACAGTGTCACAACCGTGAGCGGGTACTGCTGCAGGGCATCTAAAACTGTTCCTGGGTGTTTGCTGAGGCACATGGGCACCCCACCCTGAATTGTTCAAGAGTCATCTGTGTCCAGAAATACATTACATACCCCAGCATTGCTTAAATGCTTACTAAGGATTTGAGTATACTATCAGGTGTGGAAAAGAAGTAAGAAAATAAAACACATTTTAATATCTGAATGCAGTTTAAATTGATTTAAAAACTGAAACTGCATATATATATAATTGTTTGGTTTATAAATAGAAAAAAGATATAACAATCAAGTTTAAGAAAAGTTATATTTTAATCCCAACATTAATATACTAATTTTTTATACTGTAGTAGGCAACTTAATTAGGAACTGTGAAAGGAGACAGATTCTCAAGGAGGCAGCTTAGAAATTTCGTCTATTTTCCACTACATGATGGAAAATTCCCAATCTGTTTGTAACCTTTTACAAGTATTTCTATTTCTGTGAATGATCAAAAACCAGAAAGCCCAGGGCAGCTCATCGCTGCTCCAAAGCCACGTGGTAAACTGACAAGAGTAAATGCTATCAGATATTTTCTCCTATCTAAAACACACATTCAAGTTTCAGGCTGCACACCAGCTTTAAATGACCACAAGTTAAAACCAACAGTGCCATAATGTGACTAATTGTTTCTTCCTCCATTGATCAAGAATTCAATTGGGAGCTGTTTCACCCAGAGAGACTACAGTTTTCACCTGCTTCAATAAAGCTACAACCAGTTCTAAGTGCTGAGCCAACACTGAATTGCTCTTTTCTGGTTTGCTCGGGCCCTGCCCCTCCTCACAATGTCTAATGTTTTCCTCTGATTCTCGTTTCATTAAAAGGTGCTAATTAAGCTGTGTGTTGAGTGTGTGACCTGCATGTGGGGGTCAGAGGACAACTTCAGGAGTCAGTTCTGTCCTTCAATATGTGAAAAGTCATTAGTCATTGGAAGCAAGCACCCTTATCTGCTGACTCATCTCCTTAGAGGGGCTATTATATTTAAATAGGAAGTTTTTAAAACACACATCCTAATCAAATTTGATATATTTTCAGAGAATCGGACTAATTGTCACAAATTAACTTTGGGTATAAAATCAACTGGATCTGTGAGCAGAGGGACATCCACCACCATCCCAAGAAAGCAGGATGCAGGCTCTGTCTCCTGTTTAGTACCCTGCACCCCCAAATGAAGTCTTTTTTTTTCTTTTTTCAAAGATTTTTACTTTTCTAATACAACCCTTTAAAGTTATTTTCCACAAAACAACCTAAGGAATGTGCATCACTGAAAGTTTGCCAGAAAACACCTTTACTTCATTTGGATGCCAGATCCCTACCCAGGGATGATCCAAAGTCTCAGCATAATGTAGAGAGAGAACATGAAGGAGCATGTTCCCCGGCAGAATCATCCCCACCCAGCCCTGTGTGTTCCCTTCCTCGGTATGCATTCCCTGCCCAGATAAACTACTGCCTGCTCTAGCACTGGAAGTGATTCTCAAAAGTCTCCTTATGTGTAGGAGATAAACTTCACTCTTATAAGACAACTATTGTCATTCTGGAGTCCCGTCTAGAGACAACCCCACTGGATTCAATGGCAGATCTACAGTAATATCATGCTGTAAGTAAGCATGACTTGAAGTCAGACCTACGGCAAAAATACCAGCACATATTTCAAAAATTGAGCTATAAAAGGGGACTTTGGGTTCCCCCAAAACTGTTGAAGGTAATTTTCAAGACACAAGTATAGAAGTATTTGTTTCTATGTATATTATACATAGTTTGGTATGTACACACAATTAATGGCTGGTTTGTTCTTAGTAAGTCCCACCCAGGTGGCACCTAGAGGAACATAGAACTGATGTTGGCAGAGAGCAATCAAACTTGGTGTGAATTATCAGCTTGACAGATGTAAAACTGACTGGAATATGGGCCTTTGGGGATGTCTGAGAAGGATTGTCTTGATTACACACACACACACACACACACACACACAAAGACTAGCACAGTGGGGAGTTGTTCGTTTTTTAAATCATGCTGCCTTGGGGTAATTAGGCCCTTTATAATTTAGGAAAAATTGGTTGCTTTGGGGTACTTTTTTGTCTTACTAAAGTTTAAGGATATTCTTGTTATTTTGGGCTTTTTTGTTTGTTTGTTTTAGTTTTAGACAGGATCTTAATGGGTAGCCAAAGCTAGACCCAAACTCACAGTCTTCCTGCCTTGGTCTCCATATGCAATGAATGCAGTGTATATCATTCCTGTCCAAAGTTCCATTTTGATTTCATGGCACTTGCCACGAGTGACCCCATTTTGATTTAGTGTATTGGAAGCTGGTGCAGAATTTCAGTCCAAAGCTATGATATAAATTTTTATAACATTTTCACCAAAGTCTGTTTTAAAACACCTTTCAGTTGTAAGCAGAACCCAAGGGGATGCTCTGGAGAAGGGAAGTCACTAGGATAGAATACAAAGGGGGTTAACCTGGTACGAATCAGAGCCCTATATAGCTGTCTTCTAAGGAACTCTCCAGGCTTCCTGAATTACAACCCCTCTTAGCTTCCAAGGGAGTTTCTCGCTTCATTTTGCTTTATAAAAGAACTTGGTGGCTTATGTAAATCCAGGTTTTCATCTTAAAATTCCAGGTCTCTGTCACTCCTGTGGTAGAGGATGAGACTAATATTGTCTCCACATAACTGCAATAAGAAAAAATAATAATAGCAAACACTCTTCAAGCTAACACCCAACATAGAAACTAAAACCTTATCATATGATTTTTTTTTTCGAGACAGGGTTTCTCTATACTGTTTTGGAGGCTGTCCTGGAACTTGCTCTGTAGACCAGGCTGGCCTCAAACTCACAGAGATCCTCTTGCCTCTGCCTCCCGAGTGCTGGGATTAAAGGTGTGTGACACATCACCCAGCTTATCATATGATTTTAAACAAAGTAATTGTGAACAACTTCAAATAGTCATGTGTTCCTCTTGTAACACATATTGGATAAAAATTTAATAGCAAATACCTGAAAATAACAACAAAAAAATTGTCTCACGTCAAAGAAGGTGTGAGAATTGGTAAGTCGGCTCTATATCAGTGAGATCAGAGATACTTGACAGCTTCTTTGTCATGGACCTTTTACTAAAGGCAGGGTTCCCTTCTGGTCCAACATGGCTGCAGGAGTCCCAGTCGTAACTTCTGTATTCAGGAAGCAGGACTATGTCTTTCCCCAACAAAAGACATCCATTTCCTTCGGCTTATATCCCATTCACCACCCCTGGAAAGCAGCTGGGAATTGCAGTTTTTCAGCAGGAGCATTTCTCAGAAATCAATCATCAAGAGGAAGAGGAGTGTTTATTATTGAGTTAGAACCTAGCAGTCCCATGCCACGTTGTTTCGGGTACTTTTCTACTGCTGTGATACATACCATGAACAAGGCAACTTATAAAAGGAAGATGTTTTCTTCAGCTCATGGCTCCAGAAGGTTCAAGTCCATGATGCTGTGCAGAGGCAGCTGGAGCAGTAGTTGAGAGCTTGCCTCTCAAACCACAGTCAAGAAACAGAGGGAATAAACTGGAGATGGCCTACAGTATTTAAAACCCCAAGTCTGGCCACCACTGACATACCTCCTCCAGCAAGGAAGCACCTCCTAAGGCTTCCCCAATAGTCACCAAACATCCAAACAGTCATCAAACATCCAAACACATTGGAGCGTATCTCGTCCAAACCACCACACATACACTTTTTCTTTTTAAAAAACTGAAGGAGGGGACCTGAAAAGTAGTCTCAGTGGGTAAAGTGCTTGCTTCCCAACACAACACCCACATAAAACGCCATGTGTGGCCACATGTTTCTGTAACCTTGGTGCAGGAGGGGCCTGAGAATGGAAACGAGTCACGCCAAGGATGCCGGGAAAAGGTAGTTGGATATTTATTCAGATAGAGAGAAGTAACTTACATGAGAAGCTGAGAACCTGGGTCAGGGCTCTACGGTCTCTGAACCACGACCAGAATCCAAGAGAGCTAAAGGTCCTCTCCTGTACCCTCTTTTATCCCCGATTTCTCCCACGTACCTGTAACCACGCCCAATGGTCGCGGTCAGTGCTGTAGGTACACGAGCTCTCTTTACAGTTCCCCTTTTAGTCTAAAGAAAAGATTTAGACTTGATACAAAACTCAAAGAGCCAAGACGGGAGGATCCTGAAGCTCACCGGCCTGATAGTCACTCTGACTGATGAACTGCAGTATAGAGACTCTATCTGAGGAAACACAGTGGGGAGGGTCTAGAGAAGGCACCCCATGATGACCTCTGGAACTGCAGTATAGAGACTCTATCTGAGGAAACACAGTGGGGAGGGTCTAGAGAAGGCACCCCATGATGACCTCTGGTCACCACAGGTCCACATTCAAGTTTCCGTGCCGGCACACATACACATGAATTTACCTCTTACTCCTGAGTAAATAAATATTTTTACATTTTATTTTTATGTGTATGAATGTTTGCCTGCCTGCATGAATGTATGCACACCACTTGTGTGTCTGGTGTCTACAGAGATCAGAAGAGGGTGTCAGATACCGTAGAACTGGAGTTACAAATGGTTGCAAACCACCACGTGAGTGCTGGGAACCAAACACAGGTCCTCTGAAAGAGCAAGTTCTCTTTTTGTTGGTTTTAATAAATTTATTTATTTATTTGTTTTACAACCTGGCAGAAGTTTCCCCTTCCTCCTCTCCTCCAAGTCCCTCCCCCACTTCCTTTCTATTCCCACCCCCCAACCAACTCCTCCTCCATTTCTGTTTAGAAAAGGGCAGGTGTCCCATAAGTATGAACAAAACATGGCATATCAAGTTGCACTAAGACTAAGCACCTCCCCATGTATTAAGGCTAGGCAAGGCCAACCCAGTATGAGAAGTAGGGTACCAAAAGCCAGTAAAAGAGTTGGCGATAGCCTCTGTTCCCTCTGTTAGGAGTCCCACAAAAGGAAAACAGGCTACACAACTGTTATAGGGGTGCAATGTGTCTAGGTCTGTCCCATGTCGGTTCCCTGGTTGTGTGTACAGTCTCTATGAGCTCCTATGAGCCCAGGTTAGTTGATTCTATGAATTTTCTTGTGGTTCCCTTGATCACTTTGGCTCCTACAATTCTTTCTCCCCTCTTCTGTAGGATTCCCAAAACTTGGCCTAATGTTTGGCTGTGGGTCTCTACATCTGTTTCCATCAGTTGATGGATGAAGCCTCTCTGATGACAATTAGACTAGGCACCAATATGGTCACAGGAGATGGCCAGTTTAGGTTACATAGGTTACGTATCTACTGTTGCTAAGAGTCTTAGCTGAAGTCAACATTATGTATTCCTGGGAGAGATAGCCTTGTGCCAGGTTTTTACCTGACCTCAAATGCTCCCCCTTTCCAGTTGTCTCTTTCAGTACTCTCCCCTTTGTTCCCTCTGAACCCGATAGCTCATGTCCCCATCCCCACCCAACCCCAGTACACTCAAGAAATCTATTTCCTCTTCCCAGGGAGATCTGGGCATCCCCCCATGAACTCTCCTTATCACCTAATCTCTCTGTGTCTGTGGATTGTAGCACTGTCACCCTTTGTTTTATAGCTAATATCCAATTATGAGTGAGTAAATACCATGTTTGTCTTCCTGAGTCTTGGTTACCTTGCTCGGGATTTTTTTCTAGTTCCATCCATTTGTCTTCAAATTTCTTGCTGTACAATTTTTAACAGCCAAGAAATACTCCATTTTGTAAATATACCACATTTTCTTTATCCATTCTGCAGGTGAGTGGCACCTAGGTTGTTTCCAGGTTCTGGCTATTACAAATAAAGCTGCTATGAATATAGTTGAACAAATGTCCTTGT